ACGATATCCGGTTACAGCCGAAAACATCGCGGCGAAAACATCGCGGCGAAAACATCGCAGACGAAAACGTCGCGGAGAAAACAACGCAAGGCGAAAACGTCATGCTACAAAACATCGTAGGAGAAAACATCGCAAAGAGAAAACATCGCAGTTCTAAAACATCGCGGTACAAAATATCGTCGTCTAAAATAAAGCGGTTCAAAAACTTCGCAGTTTAAAAACATCGTCGTCGAAAATATCGTGGTAAAAAAAATAAAGTATCTACAAATCATCGCATGACGATAACATCGCAGACATACTTTATTCAGGTTTTAATAATTGTAAATGGATATTCCATAATGATTTGTGAGCGCAAGATGGAAAGAAGGATAATTTGACTTTCATATTTTTTATTAATCAATAAATTTTTGCTGAGAAAATAAAGAAACTTAAGCATTTAAAAGTTTAAAATGAGTAGAAGCCTAAGGAAACGTATAGAACTTAATATAATTTTAAATTTACATAGTTTAATTTAACAAAGGTTATTATTAATAAATTAACCTTTTTTTATAAAGGTTTCACTGATAATGTTTTCATGAAAGTATACAGTCTATAAGTTGCATTTAATTTCTAGGGAAAATAAATAACTTCGTGAGTTTACCTCCAGCAAAAATTGCTTAGTTAATGATCAAATTATCTTCTTTCACAATTATCCTAATCTGATATCGTTTTGCGCTGAAAATTATATCATTGTTTGGGAATATCCGTTTACAATTATCTTAAAGCCTTATTAATATTTACACGTATAGACATGTCAATGCAGTTGTTATGGTCATGCGATGATTTGTCGGATACTTTATTTTTTACCACGATATTTTCGACTAACGATGTTTTTAAACTGCGAAGCTTTTGAAACCGCTTTATTTTCGACCACGATATTTTTGTACCGCGATGTTTTACAACTGCGATGTTGTCTCTTTGCGATGTTTTCACCCACGATGTTTTGTAGCACGACGTTTTCGCCTTGCGTTGTTTTCTCCGCGACGTTTTCGTCCGCGATGTTTTTGCCGCGATGTTATCGGCGGACACCACGATATCCGTTAACTAAACAAGTTTAGGTTTACTTCATATCGCAGCCGCTCCTAGATATTTTTATCACTTCTGGCAAAAAAGTAAGATATGTGTCTGTATATTCAATGAAACTTTACATCTTTAGCCCCATCAGTGGTTCAGTGGTTTAGACCCTCGAATGCAGGTCGTTAGACCGGGTTGGCTGCATGGTTGGTTTTCCCTGTATGTAATGTGAATAGGTGCCAGTTTTCCCTAAAGCGTCCTCTACGAAGATATCTCTCCCTCGGGCAGATAGCCCTGATGTGCTTTGTCATAGTGTGCAACTTATACTCATCAAATACAACTATTTCAAATCTTACTGTATTAATTTAATTATCAACTTACTGAGCAATCTCATGCCTCATCCCAACTCAGCATGCATCTTACTCAACAATGTGTTACTTACGCAGTACTCATTACGAATTACTGTAAGAATGATTGTACTTATACAATGATACTGCATAAATACAATCATTCTTAAAGTAATTTTGGTACTATTCGGTTTCGAGGGCCGTAAAAAATCGCCAAACAATCGTTGATGCCAATGCTGCCAAAAATAATTGCGGCAACCCTAATCATTGCGGCAAGAAAGCAAGTATAATAGTAAATAACTATCTAAGATTGGTGTTTTAATTTAGATGAAAGGTTAATTTCGTATAATACTTTCTTGTTATTATAATTTATATGAAAAAGGCTAAACATGGCGGAATGGAAGCATAAGAGTAAATATCTACTTCAATCATTATTATAATTTATATAAAAAATTGCTAACATAACTTAATGGATTCCTGCATCGCTATTTCGCTACCGAGTTATCGCTAAAGCATAATTTCATCTCGTTGGTTGTTCAAACATAATTTTCTATAATGAATGATGCCTTTTCTTTGAAAAATTTCTCGGTAAAGTACAGAATCGCCCACTTATTTGTTTGCCGCTTTTTACAAGGGTAAAAACAATTGGATTTTTGTCAATTTTCTTTTACTTTTTAAGTGAAAATAGGTCGATGTGTACATAGATAAAGTCAAGGGTGTGCTAAGTGCCATTTTTTGTGCAAATGTGGGATTTTTTTTTTTTTTTTTAAGTAGGTCGATGAGCACATGGATACCGAGTATGTGCAATTCTTAAAAACGCGTCAAGCAGTGGGTGATTCTGCACTTTACCCAAATTCTATTGCAGATTTTTCGTCATGGGCAATTTCCCAAATTGTTAAATCCATAGGATATCAAAAAAGGATTTAAAAATTAAACTAGTATTTCAATGGAATCTTAAGAACTATAGAACTATATAAACTTATGCAATCTGAAATCAAAGCGTGCGCTAGATTTGGCGCACTGTTAAATGGGCGCGTTTGCTAGATTTGGAGCTTTCGCGCATAGATTTTCGCTGCAATTTTTTTACGGCCGTCAAAACGGAATAGTACCGTAATTTTTAATCGTGGCCTTTTTCTTATGTTCAGAAAAGTAATACCTATAATGATTTGTAGATTCGAAATTACACTCTAAATTCGAAAGAGTCCTATCCGACTCTAAGGGAGTGATATCCCACCTCCCTCTAATGCCAAAATGGCACCAACCTCGAAGGAGCGATATTTCACTCTAGTAAAAAGCGGTCCCTTTTCACACAAAAACAGGAGTGACCCTTTCTTCGTTCGCTCTTCTTCGATAGTCAGATATCGCCCGATATTCGGGTGAAACCACACACATTATAAGGGAGTTATAATAATAGTCTGCTCACTCCTTGATGGTGCGATTTTTATATAATTATTTTTATAGGCAAACTGAAAATTGGTATTTGCTATGTAAACTTATAGCTGATGTATTGTTTTAGATATCTGGTTAATATTATCTCTTGAAAAAAATATTTTACACTACTTTTTAACATGCTATTGTGATTTTAATTATCTGATATATACATCTGTTTTAGATTTGCTACCTATGTACTTACTTAAACATTTATTGGCGATGAGATTTCTTTCCAGATCTAACGAAATATACATATAAAAAAAATTACATCCATATTAAAATATTGGAAATTCGGTGTGTAGTTAACATTCTGAAATACTTAACACTATCACTTTCTCACAGAATATATTTTATTTTACAGAAACAGGCTTTGCCTTTATGTGTAGTAGCAATAAAATAAGAACGTCAATGCAACTTATATATAAAAAACGGGATTATTGAATCAAAGTAGACCATCACTGAAATAAAAAAACACAGTTTAAAGGAAATCATATCTTCATTGTTTAGACATATAGTTTTTTTTCCAAATCTAACGAAATATACATATAAAAAAATACATCCATATTAAAATATTGGAAATCGGTGTAGTTAACATTCTGAAATACTTAACACTATCACTTCTCACAGTATTCTGATGTGAATTACTTGAACTCACAGAATATTTTATTTACAGAAACATGGCTTTGCCTTTATGTGTAGTAAGCAATAAAAATAAGAACGTCAATGCAACTTATATATAAAAACTGGAATAGCAAGATATTCGCAATGAAAAACTTAACTTTTGAATAAAAAATAAGGTTTTTCAGGTACTTAAAACTTTGAATAAATATTTCAGATATTTTCAAAATTTGATTTGAGAAATCAAAAAATGCTTAGTTTCATAAAAGAAATTTAAAAAAAAAAATCATTTTAGAGATGATATATATATATATATATATATAGTGATATACATTCTAAATTTTGTATACATATTTTAATTTAAAAAAGCAAATTATGCTTATTCACAAGATTTGGGCACGTAATCATGTAAATTGTAAGCTAAATTTTCCATTAAATAATCATTCTAGTTGGAAAAGTAATTTATTAAAAATAGTTCTTGACAAATTTTATAATGAAAATTTGAATGTGTTAGAACAGCTGATCATATATATATATGTGTCAGTAAACCTGTATCATAATCTGATAGATTTAACTTCTTAAAATGCTACTTATAAGTGACTATATTAATACAATTTGTGAATTGATGTTACTAGTAGTTTGTCTACTTGAGCGTAATATGCATAAAAAAATCGAATAATAAATTTTAATATACATTGAAGTAAGAAACAAATGCGAATTTAATTTCCCTTACATGAAAACTATTCAGCTTTATTTTTAATGTATGAGATTCAGAAAATAAGTAACCATAAATAAAATACTCTCATGCTATTGTTTTTAGCTTCATGTATTGCACAAATATTGCAAAAGAAATGTTTCTATTTCTTATTACATAATTATGAAGAGCTTAAAATTAATTATTACCCCAAATTATGAATAAAGTCTAAAATCTTCAGTTAGCTTGTTACGCTTTCTATTTTTGAGAAGTTATATGCATACAAATTCCTATACATTAATCATTACAGGTGAATAAATGCTTACATATACTTTTAGACTATAACTTATTTTTATATATGCTAATTCCAAGTCTCATTTGGGAAAAATAAAGTAAATTTTAAAGTGAAAATAATATGGATTATAGCTCACATATGTAAGCTAAAAAATTCATTTTTCATAATTCTGCTGAAAATTATTATGTATTTCATTTATTGATTAAATCTGAATAGGAATCATTACCATAACTGCAGAATTATAATAATTTTAATGAACGAAGTATTTTAAATATAAGTGAAAACAAGCATTGCATGAAAAACTCTTTATTAGGAAATATATGTACATATATAAAAATGGAAAATATGACACTAAAAGGACATTAAAAATATGAAATGTAATGCATGTACAAAATGCAATAAATTCAGACTCAAACATGTATTTAAAGAGTCCACACAAGCTCTATGAGTGCTGACATTATACAAAAGGCTTGCCACAAAATTATAAAAATTTGTTGATGTATGTGCATATTGAACGCTAAATACAAAAAAATTAGTTTTAAATAGAATGTCAAATGCCTTCATGGCATGATTTGGGCATGTTTAAGTGATTTACTGCTTTAATATAGAATGAACTTGTAATACACACTATAATGGGCTGTTTATTCTGAGCTGGTCCAAGAGATTCCATGTCTTCTATTCCCTGAAAATAAATTTCTTTATTAAGAATAAGAATACATCCATTACCTATCTATTAGGACAAGTCAAATACCAATGAGCCATACTAGAAAGTTTATCTTTCCAATTAAAAAATATCACCAGAAAATTTTTCTTCTTTCAAAAATAAGTAATTCCTAGTAATTTTATTCACATAGAGGTCTTTTGCTTTTAGTTTCTGTAAAAATGCAGTATAAATACATATAGGAATATGTAAATATTATATTGATGCAAATATAAAATAGGATAGTCTATCTGTGCGTTGCTTCTTAATGAAAAATGTAATAAATAATGTACATAAAAATGTAAAAAGAACAAACTATATGGAGAATTAGTCTGTCTTTTCCTTATGAAAACAAGTATCATCCCTTCATAATAAACTATTGTAAAATAAACTATTGTTATTGTAAAGATGTTTGTTCTTGATTTCATGATCGCTATAGTCTGGCTGGAAGTGTATCTTTTGAATTTCACCTTGAAGCAATTTTCCATCACTTTACAAGTTTTTTAAAAAAAAAAAAAAAAAAAAAAAAAAAATCTATGTTCACTGTATATACATGCATATATACGATTAGTGTCATGCTTTAGATTTAGATCATATAAAGGCATCACACATATTACAAACCATCTTATTCTCTCAAAATATTTGCTAGTAAGTAGGTGACATTCAAATCAATGCAATTCCAATTCTACAGAAATTAGCTAAATGACCATGCATCATCTGTGGGTACAATAGTCGAAAGCAGCCTGAGAAGATGAATTTTAGCCACATGAGGCCAAATACATTCACTGCTGTAAAATGACTCATTTTAATATAATCTGCCCTCTTAAAATGAAAGTTAGTGCAAAGCATATCAAAATTCCTCAATACTTACATTTAGCAAATATTAAAAGTGCAGAATTTGGATTTTTTTTTTTTTTTTTTTTTTCAAATAACAACCTTATGCTAAAATACTTGCTTTGCCTTTACCCTACAAAAATAAAAATAAAAGTATATATAAAAGACATATAGTGGATAAAAATTGCATGTGAAATGTAATAATTAATTGAAACTATATAAATATCACACATGAACCTTTCAAGATAGAATATGTAGCAAATTTCAAAGTATATGCAGCTCAGCTCACTTACATATAGTATCAATAGCTTATTTACATATACATACACTGCAAACTAAAAATATTATCCTATGAAAAGAATTTTATAGCTAAGCATATGAAATTATTTTTTATGCATAGACTTATGCCAAATATTTACTCATTAATAATGAATAAAACCTTTTTCCCTCTTTCTTTCCAATAATTTTAGCTGAGCAAAAGTTCTGTGAGCAAAACTAATGCTTTTAGGTCATCTATCTATCTATCTATATATATATATATATATACACGTTTATTACATAATGATTACAAAAATATCATTAAAAAGGCCTTTGGCACTAGAGGCACATGCATTTACCGCTTATCTTTAAGAGCCAGAAGGAAAAAACTATAAGCCATTTAAGAATAAAGACCAATGTGAGTAATAGATGCAAAATTACTTTACTCTAGGTAATTAAAAAGTAAACAAAGAAAAGTTTTAAAGTATTCTATCATTTATAATCCTAATTAAATTCTATCATTTATAATCCTAGTTGAATTTTTAAAGATTTTTACCACTGAAATCAGCAATACTTGGTACCAGAAGATCAGGGCGTTTTGTTTCCACATATTTCAAAATTCTTGGGACATAAAAAGATGAAAACTGTTTTTTAAATGTCTATCATTAGAAATTGTTTCAGTTTCTATACAATTTCTTACATGGCTATTAGACAAAACCATTTCAATTGTTTTTATGACTGAAACATACTGAAATGTTTCTTTTACAATTTTGGTTTCAAATTGACCTGTTTTTGTATTCAGAGCTTGATCCAATCTACTGCCAAGCATAATTTCGACAGCTTCGATAAAATTCTGACAGCTTTTCAAAGCCTTTATTTGTCCTTTAGTTGCTGACATGCCATCAAAAATCTGCCTAATGGGAAGGATGCCTCCATGGAGGTCTTTGTAAGGCAAACTGGTTCGTATACACGTTACACATGGAGAAAACCACAAAAAATGTCCATGCAGCCAGCTCCTTCATGCGATTCAAACTCTGGACCGAACTACCAGTGCTCAGCGACTTTGCCGCTGGTGGGTAATATTTAGGGGATGTGCATTAATGTTCGGAGAAAAAGCATGATATTAAGCATTTGTAAGTAAACAGCCTGTTAAACATGGTATTTAGGGCATATAAATTAAAATGAGCGCAGGGGCGTAGTTAGAGGGGGCAAGGGGCATCTGTCCCCGGGCGCAGGATCCAAAGGGCGCCAAACTGATGTTACGGCATTTTATAATTAAATGGTTTCCATCCTTGGGAAGCAGTAGGAGGCGCGAAATCTTCAGTTGTCCCTGGGCGCTGAAAACCCTAGGTACGACTCTGAATGAGCAGCAAGAAATATAATATTAAGCATACGTAAGTAAAATTTACATAAAGTAAATATTAGTTACTGAAATCAATTTGGCCTTCCCCCATTTTCTCAAAATTGTTCCAAAAACTGTTCCGTTAAGAAAATTTTCGGCAACATATTATCTTAGAAGGAAACATTCTTTAAACGCAATTTAATAGTTCTTTGACTGTATCTCAACCATTATGCTTAATTTCATGCCAAGACAAGTACTCGAGTATGCAGTTTTGTAAATTTTCTTTGCAAACACTTTAAAATCACTTTTAGGAAACATAGCACGGAAATCAGACAAAATAATAATAAATTGAGAAAATATTATACATGCAAATAAATTTTGAACAGCAGTGAAAAGAAGCGAGGAGACCGCAAGAGAATTCCTTTTGGAGGATTACCAGCTTTGTGCTTTGGCAGCGTTTACATTTACTGGATTCTTTGCGGTAGTAGTGTTTTCGAAGGCAGGTGGATGGATGGTAACTTTGAATTTCTGTAGTTCAAAAATTTTCCAGAATGCAGTTCCATATACTGAAATATACCTGTAAACTTTTTTCATGACTGTTGCGTGAGCGAGAAGAATTTTGCAAAGTACAAATGGATTAAAAAAACACCTAAGACTGAGAAATTGTACCATACTGTCTACAAATCAGCTGATAGAGTAGTAAATCAAACTTTTAGAATACTATTAATGATTTTGTGTATAAGGAAAACAAGCAAAATAGTACTTGTAAAACAAACAAAATAGTACTTTACGGTATTAGAATTAATGTTTTATTTCAAAAATAAACCCAGATATTTTGTTTTTATATATATCATTTTGACATTTTATAGACTTTTTATTGTGCACTGAGTGAGGCAGCAAGAACTCTGGCTACACCTCTAACAGTGTTCACATAACTTAGTTATTGAAAATGTAAACAAGCTGTGTTACCTGAGTCTTTAAATCCTATCTAAACCAGAAAATGAATTCATATGAGTTTATTAAAATCAGGTTACTTACATTTCTTTCCTACTTTAAAGGACTGTGGATAAGAAAAGGTTTATAAGACTTGTTTGATACAACAATAGCTTTTGCTAATGTAAACAATTATATTATTTTGAACATTACTTCATCAGATCCTCACTCATTTTAATATCACTAGGAGAAGATATAATAACTAATTGAAATGAAAAGGCAATAATCTTGAAAAGTAATAAGTAAATGTCATTAGTTTAACTTTCTAACTATTGAGTTGATGTATATGAATTAATCCATGAATCATTTTAGAATTATCGTTTAAATTAGTATATATTTCGACAATTTTGAAAGTATGCCTGACAAGTTTTCTTAGAAGGGGGAAATAAATAAATAAAAATAACCCGTCGAATTAGGTTTTCTCCCGCAATAGAAGGGAGGGGAAGCTGTTTTTTAATTGTGCATTCTATTATCTGTTAATAAAATAAGTTAATTTTTAAATATGATAGGCGCTGCCACAAATATACGGCAATATTGCTTAATTTTCATATTATAAAATAAAAATGCATCAAACATTTAGGTTTTATGGCTTACATATAAAAAGTCGTTTTGTTTCAGTTGAAATAAAAATGTTTAGACATAAACGAATTTTACTATTTAATTAAGTCTGAAAAAACATGCCTTACATTTTTTAGAAATAAATACTGTTTTTTTTTTTTTTTTTAATTTTCTTATTTGCATTAAAAGAAATAAACATTTGGTGTACATATTATATATTGGCATATACGTATATTTGTCAGTAAATACATATTTAGCATAAAATAAATACATGTATATAGCATATAAAGTCAACTGAATATCTGGAATTTTCAAAAATCCGGACTATGTATAGTTTTTCTAATTTAAAAAAGAGAGTAGAAAATAAAATTACCTTTTTGGACATTAACAGCATCTTCGGGAACTTCTTGCAGTTATAAAAATCTGATAATTTTGAACTATCATGTAATGTAACGCCTCCTGAAAAAAGTATTTTATTGTGCTACAGTTTAAAAAAAAGACAAGGGGCAGATAAATTTGACAATTTGCTGTGGCACAAGTATTAGGAATATAGAACCTATGTAGAATGGGACAAGGTACTAAAATTTTATGCTTGGTCTTTGATTGAAAATGAATTCTCATTAAATAGTTATCTGCATGAATTACCTGGAATATTTAATAATACAATAGTTTTCAGTTTGTCATCAGAAAATCAAAACTTATTATTTTTTTTAAATAGCTGGGTTTTTTTTTAGTCCAAAGGGGCAATTCTCCCAGAAGGACTGTTAATTTCGTTTTGGCATTTTGCATATATTTTGCATTTTGCATATTCCCGATATGTTTCATTTCAAATTGCTGCCACCAAACATTATATTTAAAGAAATTAAATAATGAAGAATCTGCATGAATGTATGTATGTTTCTCGCATTGTAATAAAACAACGGTACCTAGAGCCAACAAAATTTGAATAAGGTAATCTTCCATAGAATATGGGCATGTGGAAGCCCTAATTTGAATTTGAAATTGGTTTTTTTATTATTGCTTTATTATTTAATATTTTCTAATACTTCAACGAATTTTTGATTAACAAGTAAACAAGTAAACGATTTCAAAGCGGCAATGCAAACTGTAAAAAAAATATATATATATATATATCTCCAGCTCGCGAGACTCTGTATTGGAAATTCTAAAGATATGTTCATTTTAAAATTATTTTGCGAGATTGCTGTTGAATGTTTTTATGGTTTAAGTGCGAAGAATGTGATATTTAATAAATAAAGGTAACACACAAAATGTTAAAAAAATGCCCCTTTGGACGTAATTTAAAATCTGAAGCTTTCAGTCCTTTTTAAAGAATGCAAGATTTTTTTTAAATCGTAAACGGAAAGCCGTCTTAGCAGCTTTATTGGCCTCCAGGACTTTTGAATGTTCAAGAGGCCTTAGTTACACCTACACTCTCGAGAATTATTTGCAAAATATAAGTTTTAGAATGTGATATGACCCAGGTAGTGCTAGTATTATATTTTGGAAAAATTCAGCTTTGCAACAGTAAGTGAATTTTATTGTCACAAACTATAAGCAGAATTTATAAAAATGAAAGTTAAAAATCTATTAAAAACTACTAGAAGCTGAAAACGATATGAGTTCAATAGAAATTCAGTAAAGTATACGGTTTTTATTTCTTCCAATACTACCAAATATTTACACACTTGTGTTATAAAAAAAATCAAAACTTTAGTATGCATTTTTTTTTTTCCACCGCTGTTCTTCCTATTTGAAATAGGAATGCATGCAAAACTAAATTTAAATAATTAAATTCGACAGCTTTGTGTAAATTGTTCAAAAATAAAAATAATGTTAAGAATTATTTACAAAAAGTACCATCCATAACGTTCTTTGGCTTAGCAAACTTGTTTGGTCAGTCTGGGTGGACGATGACAAGACAGGGGGTCGTCCTGCTCCTTCAATTCACTCCCTTCCCCAAGGTTATTATTGCAAGTGGGAAACATGTTCTGCTACCAAGACAGTAAATTTGCGTTGTTTGACACGAAACGGAGCGAAAACTGCTGTCACCCTCCAAATCCCACTCTGCGAGATTTAGAGTGTAAAATAAATAAATAAACAAATCATACTTTTTTACTATTACTTAATCAAAATAAGAAATATTATTAAATATTTTAAACAATAATACGAGTCGTACAAAAAGGTGTTCTACTGATTTTGAAGCACTTTTAAAAATTTTGTTTATAACGAGGCAATTTTCCCAATTTGTTTTTTGTTTTTTAATTATTACTTAATTCCAATTTAGAGGTAGAATAGCAATTTTTGACAGACTTTTCTTGGCCTGATGAAGATCTTATATGCAGTGGAAACTCTTTTATCCGTCACTCTTTTAAGACAGTCACCTATCAGCGGCCGAGTGGTAAATTCGCTGAAATTGGTAGTTCGATTGCAGACGAATGGGTTGGCTGCATGCGCGTTTTCATAGTTTCCTCATGTGCAACGTGAGTAGGAGAAAGTTTCCCTTGGGAAGTGCTCCATGAAGACATCCCTAGTCTTAGAGAGATAGCCCTAGCAAGTCCTTCGCTAAAATCAAATAACCAACCAGACCAACTGTGACAATCTGATAAACAGAAAAATTTCAAAAAATATTAAAGAAAAAAAACGTGATTTAGACTAGGCCATACTGTCTAATATAAAATGACTATTTCGTCACTGTCTGTATTTAGAAAAAAAAATTTTTAATTCTGTTCAAAGGTTAAAAATTATTAATTATTAAAAAGATGTTTCATAGAAAATTACGGTAAAAATTATATAATAATGGGGCATAATATTCTTTTGTAAATAATTTATGGCAATTTACAAAATTTCGTGTATGTAGGACTTTGTGTTTTTTTTTTTTTTTTTTTTTTTTTTTTTAATAGGCTTTTGATGAGATGTCACAAAATAGCATCACATCTTATCTTGAGGTGAAAATTAAAAAATTATCAACAAAATTAAAAGATGTCCATTATTTATCGTGTAACGTCTAGAGACTGCTTTAAATTTTTTTAAAGCACTAGAGTTGTTTTAATGTGCATAAGAAAGAATAAGTGATACCTTTCAGTTAGGAAGCGTCAGCCGTAACTGTGAGCCAAATACGATTAGACTACTGTTTATTTTACCCTAACTATAAATATATAATGAAGTTATTGGAAATCAGCTGGAGAAATGAACAGGAATATAACAATTCCTGCTCCATATGCCTCATTTTCAGTCACTTTTTTTGGTTATTTATTTATTTTTTTTTTTAAAGGAAAATTCCATATGCATTACATGATTTAGCAATTGCGAATTACTGTGAAGACTCGAGATAAAATTTCTTCCAAAATTTTTCTCTCAGTTATGTTAATTTTTTTTTTTGTTCAGCAGATCACAAAATGAAACTGTATTTTACTAGTACTGAAACACCGAAACGAAGCTGCAATGAAACATTTTGCCACAAGAAGAGAAGTTTACAGAGTAGATACTAGTAGCTCAGTATTCCAATTCTTTCGTTATGCTAAATTTTATTGGTCGCAATCACAAATGAACTGTATTTATATACTGAAACATCGAAACGAAGCTGCAGATAAACATTTTTGCCAAAGAAGGAAGTACAGAGTAATATAGTAGCTCAGTATTTCCAAAATTCTTTCTGTTATGCTAAATTTTTTGGTTCAGCAAATCACAAAATGAAACTGTATTTTACTAGTACTGAAACACCGAAACGAAGCTGCAATGAAAGATTTTGCCACAAGAAGAGAAGTTTACAGAGTAGATACTAGTAGCTCAGCATTTCCAAAATTCTTTCTGTTATGCTAAATTTTTTGGTTCAGCAAATCACAAAATGAAACTGTATTTTACTAGTACTGAAACACCGAAACGAAGCTGCAATGAAAGATTTTGCCACAAGAAGAGAAGTTTACAGAGTAGATACTAGTATCTCAGCATTTCCAAAATTCTTTCTGTTATGCTAAATTTTTTTGGTTCAGCAAATCACAAAATGAAACTGTATTTTACTAGTACTGAAACATCGAAACGAAGCTGCAATGAAGATTTGCCACAAGAAGAGAAGTTTACAGAGTAGATACTAGTAGCTCAGTTCCAAAATTCTTTCTGTTATGCTAAATTTTTTTGGTTCAGCAAATCACAAATTGAAACTGTATTTTACTAGTACTGAACGAAGCTGCAATGAAAGATTTTGCCACAAGAAGAGAAGTTTACAGAGTAGATACTATTAGCTCAGTATTTCCAAAATTCTTTCTGTTATGCTAAATTTTTGGTTCAGCAAATCACAAAATGAAACTGTATTTTAGTATTACTGAAACACCGAAACGAAGCTGCAATGAAAGATTTTGCCACAAGAAGAGAAGTTTACAGAGTAGATACTAGTAGCTCAGTATTTCCAAAATTCTTTCTGTTATGCTAAATTTTTTTTCAGCAAATCACAAAATGAAACTGTATTTTACTAGTACTGAAACACCGAACCGCAATGAAAGATTTTGCCACAAGAAGAGTAGTTTACAGAGTAGATACTAGTAGCTCATTTCCGAAATTCTTTCTGTTATGCTAAATTTTTTTGGTTCTGCAAATCACAAAATGAAACTGTATTTTACTAGTACTGAAACACCGAAACGAAGCTGCAATGAAAGATTTTGCCACAAGAAGAGACGTTACAGAGTAGATAGTAGTTACTCAGTATTTCCAAAATTCTTTCTGTTATGTTAAATTTTTTTTTGTTCAGCAAATCACAAAATGAAACTGTATTTTACTAGCACTCATAATGCTATGAGTATAATTATTTTTTAAGAAATGGCCACCAGCGGTCGAGCGGTAAAATCGCTGAACACTGGTAGTTCCGACCTGAGTTCGATCTCAGGCGACGGGCTGGTTTCAAGGCGTTTTCGGTTTTTTTTCCATACCAGCTTACAAGCAGCTACCACGTACCATACGCGAGCTTCCTAAGAAGTGCTCTACGAGGCGTTCTTCTCTTAGGCACATACCAGTGTGTTTTTGTCATAATCACTAAACCAAATCATTTAAGAAATATATCAGTTGATCACTGCTCAATGTACATCTGCTGTTTACTTAAAAAAAGAGAACTTAAATCTGCTTAATACAACAAAAATCTGCTTAACTTGCTTTCGTGTATCGGGAAATGTAAGTATATGCAGAAATAAATATTAAAATCTATCACGTATATTTGTAAGGATGTAAAGCATACTGTTTTGGTTCACGATAATGATAAATATGCATCATGTTACAACAGTTTTAAAAGATCACAAATAACTATATATGCTAGACTTCTAACAAAATTCTGTTACAATATGAATATGCATTTATTATTATGTGAGTCATAAAATTCAGTATTCGTCATTTTTTTTAGATTTAGGTATATGACAAAATTTTTTTTTTTTTAAAATTAATTCACTTTATAGCTTTTCTTCATTTTATTATAAAGGAATAGGAGTTTAAATTTTGATTTAAATGAATATGATATAAATTCATCATTCATTAATACTATTTTATGTATAAGAAAAAATTATTATTAATGTTTCAAAATTTTAATTTTTTTAATGATTTGTCTTAATTTGTTGTATATTTGTTGAATGCATAGCTAAATATTTCAATTATACACGATAAGATTAATGCAGAAAACAATTAGCTGGCATGACAGCTAATTGCGAAAAGAAAATTAGAGTCTTATTGCTGTTAACTCTTAGTACAAGCAGCCATTTTTAAATTGACGTTCAAATAAATTTATTCTATGGTCTATTAGAAAATAACTATACTGAATCATTTATTGACGACTTCTAAGAGGTAGCTTTTTGAAAGAAACCTGTATTTTTGAGAACATAAACATAAGTTGATATTGAACACCACTTTTTTAAGATGCCAGAGCAAATGCACAGAACTCCAAAAATCCTCTAAAAGCATAGACGGCCACGTTTAAAAAGGCTGACTACTTTTAATGAAATATGTATATTAATGTTCATTATACATTTGTCACATTTTTACTTTCTTTCAAAACAGCGATACTCTGGTTCAATTGCTTTAGAACTATGTGAAACTAATAAAATGGGCCCTATGTTATAAAAACCTAATTATATTCAGATACACCTTTTGAACATGTTTGAAATCCATTATTCTAATCAGAATACTTTGTCTACAGAAAATATTGAATCAATATTAGAAATCAAAAGCTAAGTGAGATTGAAGTAGTAAGAGTCATATCGTCTAAACCCATTTTAATTGAAGTAAAATGGTGCTTACTTTATCGTAAAGTGAACATCTGTTTTTCAAACAGTGAATGAAAAAGAGCCCACCAGAGCTCGAGCGGTAAAGTCGCTGAACACTAATAGTTCGGTCTGGGGTTCAATTTCCGGCTAACGGCTAGTTGCACGGGCGTTTTCGTGGTTTTCCCCGTGTGTAACTTGCATATGAGTCAGTTCCTTTTAAAAAATCCTGCAAGCCCTAGTGTGCTTTACCGTAACCGAATAAACCGAAACCGAAACAAAAAACAAAACAAAACAAAAAAAAAAAAAAAAAAAAAAAAAAAAAGAGAATTGGTGGTGGAAGGCAGCGACGAAACGTCGTTTTAGAAGAATGGGCTACATAACCAAATTTCTATCTATACTCTGGTAAGCAGTACATTATTTGCTCATCAAAAGCCTTAATTTAGATAATGCTAGGCTTAGTTCTTAAATTACAATTTCAGCTATAGCCCCCAAACAAGACGATGTCTGGTATTTTATTTCATTACTTAGTTATTCATCATTAATTTAAGAATTAATTAAATTTTCATTTGTCTTTAAATTCTTATTGAATTATAAGAATAATCATTTAATATTCTAGTTGCTAATTATTTATTATTGTAATAGTTATTTTATTTATTTTTTATTTTTATTTATTTATTCATCTTTCTGATGGCCTTCCATAGAGCTCCAGCACTTCTAATTTTTAAAAATTAAGTCCTGACTACAACCAATGATTGCGAAAATAAAAGTCAAGTAACTTGTTTAGTGATAATTAAATAAAATAAAAGCCAAAGCTTTTATTTTCGCCTTACTTGGCTTTTATTTTATATATATATAGTATATGTGTGTGTGTACTTTACATTTAATTATAAGGACATATATATAATAGTATGTACTTTACATTTAATTATAATTTATTTGATATATATATACATACATATTTACGTTTGTTAGTATTACCGATTGCAATAAAAAGGGAGGTGCACATCTAGATTTTATAACGGAACCATATACAAAATTTCAACGTTCGACAACTAATCGTTTTTGAGTTATGCGAAATGCATACATACGTACTTACACATCACGAAAGCAATCCCTTTCAAGTATCAACTTAGCGTCATAATCATAAGTTATCAGCTTAGAGTAAATGGGATTACATTTAATAATCAGTTTTTGAAAAAAAAAAAAAAAAAAAAAAAGAGAGTCCTTCATTGTGTTCGTACGTACAGACGTCACTTCAAAAAAATAATTCACATGGATTCCATAATCGTCGAAAATGGATATTTCCGTTAAAATATGATACCCAAAAGTTTTCTCGATTACAATACTTACTACCATTTTATTTGGTACAAGGAAGTAAAGAACTTATATTAACCTACATATTCTGATATAAACAATACCTAAGTGCAGTAAATAAATATTTCAGATCAATAAAAAGCTCACTATGGCACGCTCAAAAAAAAATAAAATCAATAAATCATTCGTATTCGTATAGCAACCGCATCATTCGTACTCGAATAAACCGCATCGTACGACAGATGCGAGTAACGAAATGAATTTGTGAGTACCGAATCGGTACTTTGAGTCAACCGATGTACCCGTTACTCAGTAACGAATACATGCGGTTTGCGGTGCAAAAAAGACTTAGCGGGTGCAAAACAAGACATCTGTGTACTTTGTCTGTCTGTCCCAAGCTCGACTGCAATACTTTTTTGTATTTTTTATGAGAAGTGTGACGGTGTGTGTTAAGCTGAGAAATATTTTAGGTAGTATTTGTGAAATTAATTAAAATTGCTGTACATAAATTTCTATTATTGATGAAAGTATACAATTATCAGTTGATCTACAGAAAGGGTAATGATATATTGAGAAGTTAGAGTGATTATGATGCAAAACATACTGTGTTTTCGCTGAAGTGGGCTGACGTCGGTATTTTGGCTTGTTAGTTGAATATTATTAGTATTTTGGTATTATCAATGTTTTAGTTGAACATTATTAGTTTGATTCGCTGTATAATATATTTTTATGGTATACTGTGATAAATATTTTAATTCATTTTAGTTGAGATCTAAATAAAGATATTTTCGAGAAAAAACTATTACATCGTAATTTCTAGTAGCAGTGTACTAAAATATTTAATAGCAGGCAGCTGAACTGAAAAAAAAAAAAAAAAGTTGTGCGCAGTATTTGATATACTCTTTAATGAAAAATATTTATAACTGCATGATAAGTTTTGGTTTACTGCTACTGTAAAGCAGTATGCGAAAGCAGCAAGCCATTGTACTGATCAGTGGAAATATAATTTTGTAACATTGCAGTTACAAGCAGTTTCCTATCATAATATAGCATTCATATTATTAATTTAGTTTATTTTTTATTATAACAATAATTTTTAGAACATTAAACTCTACGAAAAGGAATATCTATCTGATTGAATTTTGTGACTAGAATTTTGATCCAAACTTTATTGTACTTTGCAGTTACGTTATGACTTTAGTTAGTTAGGATGAATAATATAGAAAAAAATTTGAAAATATTGTACTGCTATACTTGTTATTCTAAAAAGTGTAGCAGTACAATATTTGCTTATTCCCTTATATTTGCTTTATTGCTTATCTAGTAAGGTAATACTGTTATTCTGTTTATTATTTGGGTTTAATGTTATGATTTAAGTCTAAAATTGATTTAAGTTGAAAATACATTGACAAGGTTTGGCAAAGGAGGACTAAATAATCTAAAATGACTAAAAATACGTTAGTGTAATTTATGTCTGTTATCAAATTTGTGTGCTGTTAGAAGTGGGTAAAAGTTACGTATTGGGTGCAAGTTGATAATTTTAAGGACTTTTTTGAAAGCTGTTGATATTTATTATAAATAAGCAAACATTATCAACATACCAAAGAAAATACAGTTTAGTAATTTAAAATACACATTTTTACTTTTGGATAAGTATTATATGATATATTAAAAAATAAAAGTGACCTTTTTGAGAAAATCTGTAATTGTTTTACTATGTTATTCCCATTTATGCAGCAGCCTGTATGCGGCACATACCCACAGAACATAGAATTATGCAAACCCAGCATTTTTCGCTGGCCATGATCATGGTTTCCCAAGAATAGTTGAAACTTCAATATAGCTTTCCAGTGAAACAATCCCACGTAATGAAAATAAAAGATAATTCTGTTTTCACCATTTAAAAGTAACAAATAACAATCAAAAGCAGAGAAAAGTGAATGAGGAGGAGATATTCGAGTTCTGTTCATGTAAGTTCTCTGACAGTTAAAGTAAGATTACCAGAATTAACACTACCGAGCGGCTTTATCTCGCCAATGCCTACCGACCGAAAGCCTATTAATTCGCTTTTTCTCACCAATGCCTACCGACCGATAGCCTATTAACTGACTTTTTTTTCACCAAAACCTACGGATCGATAGCTTATTAATTGGCTTACTTTTTTGCCAATGCCTACTGCTTTTTTCTCGGGGCTACCTGAAAATAGCATTTCAATAGGTAGTCATGACTTCGTACATAAATCATTGGAGCGTTGCAGGAGCATTTTTTAAATCGAAACTCATTACATTAACCCTCTCGCTGCGTACTTTTTTTTTATCAACATAGTTTCAAAAATTGCGTATTTTTTTATTATATATTTCAAATCTTCATATATTTTAGAGTTAAAATATACAAAATTACAAAATTTGTTTGAGAAAGAGTTTTTTTTTTCAATATAGAATTAGATCATAGGAAAAGCTCGTCAGAATATTGAATATGAAGAGTAATGATATAAAAGGAAACTTTTGAAAATTAATATTGGTTAAATTATGATTTATTTTATAAAATACAAAGGTAAAACATATATACTAATGAAAATGTTTGCATAATGTAATATTTTGCATATCAATTTTGCACTACTGTCGAACGTTTTCAATAGAAACTCAATTTTCAGATTTATCACTAACTTCAGAGGAATCCGAGAAATTCTCATCAGTTTCGCTATAACTATCTTCAATATACTTGAAATCAGAGTCAGAACTACTATCAGTGTTGGAAATATCGTCAGGAATATAGGTTATATCACTCGCAAAACGCTTCCTGCCAGACATCACTGAGCTCTGAAAAGCGCGCGCAAAATGCTATATTATGTATTTTTGTATATTTGTCAGAAATGTGGACAACTAACGGCATCTGTTAGTCCACATCTAAATAAACAATTAAACATCACAGAAAAGCCGAAAGGAAACCTTGAACGAGGAAAGAACGGGTTGCACAGTTAAATAAACGGCCAAATTCATCCCCGTGGAAATCGTGGGTTGCGCAAATTTTGCTACATTTACGTTGCCCGTGAAATTCGCGGGATGCGCAACGAGAGGGTTAAATTCGTACAAACTGAAAGGAGTGAGGATAGCCTTTATACATTTGTCTTCTCCTGAAATGGGAATTTTAAAATAAGCTTTGAATAAATCAATTTTAGAAAGAAATATTTGTACCTTTTAAAATATGATGAAAATCTTCAATTTGAGAAATTGCCTAACGAACAGGTATCGTCTGGCCATTCAATTGACAGTAGTTCCCACAAGGCCGATATGAACTTCCTTTTTCGTAACAAGATGCAAGGGGTTTGACCACTGGGAGTTTGATGGATGAATTATTCCATTGTCAAGCATAAATTTAAATTCCTCTTTAGCTGAGCGTTTTGGTTTGAGCTGTCGTGCATTTGAATACACGGGTTGACCATCAGTCATAATAAAATGTGTAACACCGTGTTTAATTTGTGTAGAAAAAAGTTAGGTTTAGGAATTTTGGGATATTTCAACAATAAATTGAACATTTTTAAGGATTTATTTAATGTGGTTACCAAGTTATCGCTGAAAATAGCAATGACATCGCACTAACTTCAGAGGACTTCCTTTGGACACCAAGTTGTGTTACGTCGTCAATTAATTTTTTCCTATTTATATCGATAAGCAAGTTGTATTTGTGAAGAAAATTATCTTCTAAAATACCTATTGTGACATCAGCAATTATGAATGGAAACTGAAAATCACGATGCAATCCCAAATCACGACGAGTTAGCGTTTTTATGCCACAGGTGGAAATATCTCTGCTATTAGCTGCATACAGTTTGTATTTAGTTTTACATTTATTCTGTGAAGTAGCAGGAATTATACTCAAGTCAGCTCCACTACCAATAAGCAAGTGCAAATTTGATCTTCGGTCATAAACGAAATTTGCGACAATACTGCATATTCTCTGCAGAAGCATTGGCCGCTGAACCTGCTGCAGATTCGAGTTTTCCTGATTTTTGGAAATGTTGATTACCCAAACACATGGAGACCGGCATTTCTTTGGAATACACTACTCGAAATCGAAAGTGCTAAAAACAAAATTTGTCAGTAGAGTCATATCGTTTTTGAGATTGTGAACATGAATTACGTGAATCTGAGTCCCGTGTCTTGAGCGAATGGTTATTTCATCAATTTTTTGTTCAAGAGAGGTATTTTTTTGCAGCAAATCATTTACGTAATTGGAAGTGACAATAGCACTAAATACCCCTGATTTCCGATTAATATCGCTGATTTTTATCTGCCATAGACGCTAACTTGGTTACATCTTCATCACTAACTAACAGTGTATTTTTTATTCAGGTATCTTTTCAAGCCATAATGTTTTGATTACATTTTCAGACATATCTCTAGTAGCAACTGATCTCAGTATCTGCAAAATTTGGCTTGGTTTCATGTCTCCAAGCTCGATAACAGTAATCAAACATTTAATCCGTACATTTTCACTTTCTTAAAATAAATGTAATAACCTAGTTTTAGGATCCGAATATTTTGTGGCACTATCGTTCGTTACAAGGTCCCAAATATTTTTGACAAACTTAGTTTCAATAATTAAATTTTGTTTCTTCTGAAATGATATTAGTAATTTTTAATTGTGCTTCAACTTAAAAAAGCCATATTTCCAGTTTATCAGTCCAAAAAAGAGGTATTTTTACACTCACCTTATGAAGCTCAGGTGACTACATCGATTCTTTCCCAGCAGTTTCAGAACAGTCATTGACATTTCGAAAATAAGTTAGGGTCACCCAAGATGTGGCTTGTCTACTAATGTTGAAACTAAATTATGATTAGGAACAGCATCAATTACAAACAAATAGCTAAGTTTATTGCTTTTTATTTTCAGCAATCAAAATGCCATGCTGCTAGAATAACATCGTTCGGAAAACCAAAGTAATGAATCAAAACTCGTTGCCATTCAGCATAAAGAAATATAAATGTAAATATGGACTACTTGCTGCCATTCAGCATAAAAGAAATATAAATATGAATATTAACAAAATGTTAAAGTTAATTTTGTGAAAAAATTAAACACATGAAAAAATATAAAATGCTTGAAATAAAAAATAATGATTTCTCATGCAATAACTGGGTCACTACAGAAGTACTAAAATTGACCACTTCTGTCACTTGTACAGCAGTCTTATGTTTATTCTCACTTTGTTATCCAATCATATTCAGGAAAAATTTCTCTTGATGGTTAGAATTATATTGACAAGGCATTCCGATCAAAAAGGCTTGGACTCTTTCCTCTTTATTTTCAAAGCTACACTTTTCTGCTAAGATATTCTTTCATATTCTCATACTGTTTCAAGAATTCTCACTGTTCTCCTTAGTGACAATTTAATCGTTTTATCTTTTTTCATTCGTGTGCTGTAAGAAGAGAATAGTTTTTGTATCTCTCATCCTTTGAGATAATACATTAATCATATAATCAGGGCTTGAATTCATACGGAGAACGGCTGATTCTTTGCTTTAGAATGGAATTTTAATTCCAGCCAGAGCTCCAAATGAGACAAGATCCAATAATTTTTTTTTTTCATTTAAGTTTAAAATAAATTTTAATAATATATTATCTTTCTGTTTATCATTTTACATTTCTTTTAATTTAATTATTTTAATTTTTAGTTATTTTATTTATTTATGTATATTTTCCTTCATTCCTCACAGTTTTCCATAGGGTCCCAGTATTTCTTATTTTAGAAATTAAGCCCTGGCAGGAATACAGAATTTTTTTCGCAAAATCTCTAAAGAGAACAACAGGGAGAGGTGTTTGGTAGAACAACAGATAGTTGATGTTGTTGAGGGTTGTGTAATGTTGAGTCTGAGCAGTTCTCTGATTTTGTTTTAGAGCACTGTGGGCTTAGGGAGAATAATAAATGTAAAAAATACAGAAAGATTTGGCGATGAATGTGTTTATTTTTAATGTATTTCATAATTTGGGTAGAGTAGACTTTAAGGTACCCCTTGTATTATGGCGCAGTTGTTTGATTTATTGCCAAGTTGTTGTTTCATTTATGGTAGCCTGAGTAGTTGAATGTTATGGAAACCCTATTGTGACGTAATCAGGTGCATGATTCTGGGAAATTTTGAATCATGGGATGTTTTGTGGTGGCATGTGTTGTTTTGTTTTATTGTTTGATTGATTTTTAGACGTTTAGATAGTTAGAATGGCCGAATGTAGTAAGATTAATTTGAAGTTTCTGTACGATTTGGAGCGAAAAGGGAAAAGAGCTTTGACTGGCGTGTAAATGAAGGTTTACTTAGTAGCCATTATAAGTGTCCTGTATGTAGGAAGGATGTGCGTCTAGTCGAACGTAAAAACAGTTTAGATGGATTTGAATGGGTTTGTAGGAAGAAAGGTTCAAATAGTCACTATGTGAAGCGTTTGATCAGAAAAGTACCTGGTTTGAAAAAAGTCATTTGAGTATGATTGATATTTTGATTTTTACGTGGCTCTGGGTGTACGAAGCGAACTCGAAAATCATGGTAAGTGAATATTTGCTTTTGGTAGTGCTTAAATGTATAACATGTTTTTCCTTTTTTATGTTATTTTATTGTTTGGTTTAAAATATATTTCATTGAGATTATGTATTTTTTGTTTGCCTATATTGTAGAATTTGGTGCTGTTTTGACTTTTTAAGTGAAAATATATTGATGTGTATATGGACAAAGTAAAGGGAGTGCGCAATGCAAGTTTGTCCAATTCTGGGATTTCTTTTAAAGTGAAAATAGGTCGACGTGTACATGATAAAGTTAAAAGAGTGCGCAATGTCATTTTTGTGCAATTCGGGGATTTTTTTTAAGCGAAAATAGGTTGATGTGTACATGGATAAAGTTCAAAGGAGTGCGCAATGCCATTTTTGTGCAATTCAGGGATTTTTTTAAAGTGAAAATAAGTCGATGTGTACATGGATACCAAATTTGTGCAATTGTTTGTCTTGTTATTTCGGCTTTGTGTAGCGGCGATTTTTGGTGCAAAAATCACCGCTTCGCAAGCCAAAACAACGAGTCAAAGAATTGCACAAAATCGGTATCCATGTACCGCCAAAAATCACCAAGTTTCGCCAGGGGATACCCTAAACTATACTTTTACCCATAATTCTTATATAACAGTCTATCCCATGCACTATTCTTATATTACAATTTATTTTGAGTACCTGCCCACCAGCGGCTGAGCGGTAAAGTCGCTGAACACTGGTAGTTCGCTCCGAGGTTCGAATTCCGCGAACGGGCTGGCTGCGTGGGTGTTTTCGTGGTTTTCCCCATGTGTAACGTGTATACGAGCCAGTTTCCCTTAAGTCCTCCATGAAGGCATACCTTCCCTTAGGCAGATAGCCCTAGTGTGCTGTGCCATAATTAAATTAAATTAAAAAAAATTAAAATTATTTTATGTACCTCTATTCTCATGTTAAAATTAATTTTAAGTAATCTGCATTTAAGTATGTTGACTTTTCATATGTTGATAATGTCATGTGATCTTATGATAGGTATGTTTGGGAATCTTTAAAAAAAGTTTCAAAACCCACTAGCTAAGTAACTTTTACTTTTTCATGTGTAAAAAAATCTCTTAATTGCATCAGAGTGGTTCCATTAATGTGCAGGTACCATAAAATCTTTATTTCTGAAAGCTTGTAAAACTTAATATGAAACAACTTATCACCTCCGACAACATAACCATTATTACATAAATAATTATCTGGTTCTTTAGTGGCTTTTGGGAACTTTATAGCATATGATCTGGGTTGTAACTTTATACAAAGCTATGGCACTAATTAGATCATGCAGATAAAGCACAACTAATTTTCAATACTTAGTATTCTTACCAGCAAGTGGTGGTCATATCTGTTTTGATCAGCGGCTTTCTGTTTAGCGAAGCAATAGTGGTGGTAACAGCTAAACTTCAGTTACAAATCATGCTGATTATGATTTTACTTTTTATTTTGACTAACGCCACTTAAAATAAAAGCTCGATAAACCTCTAGTTGAGTGAATGTATGAAGAATGAGAGATGAAAGACTCAACATAAAATTAAGTGTCACTAATCTCCTTTAACCTTTCAGCATGCGCGCGCCATATTTTTTTATTACATCTGTTATTTTACCATTTTTGTCACGAAAAATGACAGGAATGAGTGAATATTGATAATAAATTTGTTAAGAAACAAAATATTAATCTTATTGCAAAATATAAATGATATCACATTCAAATATAAGTAAATTATTTTTAAAATCTTATGTTAGTGAAATGGAAATGCAATGATGTATTTCATTATAGAAAATTTTAAATTTATTATTTAATAATTATATTTTAAAATCAAACCCAATTTTAATATTCATCAAAGGCAAGTACTATAGACAAATAAAAAAGGAAAACACCTTGGTAGGAAAAAAGTAAGTTTAGCATTTCTTACTTCTGCAAGGAAATTTACTTCTTAGGCCCATATCACACAGCGTGTGTTTCACATGAACAACTGTTTCGGACAATTTTTCTGCCTGGTTTACTGTTGAAAGAAAGACGTGCGACTTTTTCCTTCCTTGTTGTTGCAAAACGAAAAAGTTGCAAGTTTTTCGTTTTCAACGAATCAGCTATCAGCGCCGAATGTTGTTAGCTGGTTTGTAATCGAGGACCAGTTTCTCCTGTGTTAACCCCAAAGCGATTTGTGGTGATTGGCTGTTGTGACAAAGCAGAAAAATTGTTCCAAACAGTTTTTCTTACGAAACAAACCGACGTGTGATAGCAGCCTTACTGGTTACAAAAACGCATTTTAAACTAAATTTAATTAGTTTAAAGTGCGTTTTGTTTATTTCCAAACAATTTAACAATTTATTTCCAATTATTTTTATTTATTTCCAAACACTAGAAATAATGGAAAATAAGGAATGGAAAACACTATTGTTCTCCCACATGAAGGTTTCCTTGTCTTCCTTTTCTTCATCAGATAAATCTTGGAATGCGAGCAAAATCAGCTGGTTGCACATATTTTTTTGCCATGAAAACCAATATAAAATTTACAGAGCCAAATGTATTCAAATTAAAATAATTCACGGCAATTAATAGCACAAAATTACAAAATATTTGAGAAAAAAAATATTTTCCGAATTTTCACTCACTACCACGCGCATGTCATAAATTTTACGAAAGAGCTGCCACCTAGGACAAAAGCCCAGTTAAAAAAAAAAAAAAGTCATAGGACTTCCTGTTGGCACATTCCATGATGTGGGGAAGGGTAGAAAGGAGGAATAGAAATGACCTTCAAACGTCTCAGCTTCGATATGCGAAAAATGTGCATTAAAAACTGAATTTGGCGTAAATTTTTCGCATATGCGCTTGCTAGAAGGTTAATATTTCTAGGGCTGTTATAGGTATAAAATATAAATGGTTCAAGAAATTTTTTATTTAAATAATAATTGATAAATTTTACAAATTTTATTTTATTTTTGAATTTGTTTTATAGTTATGTTAAATATTAACAAATAAGATGTAGGGCAAAAATCTGTTTCAGTGTCTTGCATAAAATGCAGATTTGACCCTTCTTATTGAGATAAAAGTAATGTATTTTTGAAAGGGCAGCAAAGTACAGGATTCTAAATATAATTTCACATTAACACATTTTTGAAGAGTTTTGGTTTCAGCATACTTTTTAAATGTCATTTCATTTAAATATATGCAGTTCAGTGAATCTGCAATTCTCAAACTTTTATTCCAGAATTATAGATGCGTAGTAATTATCTGCATTAAATTGTAGATCTATAGAAAGTGTTCACACCTGCTTAAACTTCTTTATATATTAGTAAACAGTTAGCAAAATAAAAGTAATGTTAAAGAAGCAAAACACACTTTTGAAAAGTGACTACTTTTGTTTTCTTGTTTATTTGTTGACTTGTTTTGAATCAAAGCACATTTTCTTAAAAATGGAATTAATTTTATACTTTTTGATTCTGTTTCAGATTTAATTCATCATGGCAGATGATTATGAACCTGACGAGTATGTAAAATATTTTCTTTCCATTTTTAATATAACATTTATGTAATAATGGGTTGTTATTCTTTTCTTAAACATTTGAACTTTAATTTTAGTCCTGTTGGAGAAGATTATGAAGAAGGTGGAGAGGAAGATGAAGTATTAGATGAACTTGAGCAAAATGAGGTAAACTGCTTTCAAAATTTTCCCTCAGTCTTATTGTGTCCATCTGTGAAAAGTTGACTTAAGATTTGATATTTATTTAACTGTGAAATAAGATTGAATTTTAACTTTCTACATTATGCTATGTATTTTTATTGCGTTCAAATCTAACTATGAAATTAGATTATAATTTTTAATTGTATCAGTCATAAAAATATGGTTATGTCAGAAATATTTGTTATGTATTTTGTTTCTTCCTTGTTCAATTTTATACATGTATAAATTGGTAAAATATTCATTTTTTGCTGTCTTGAATAAAGGCCTTTCCTATTTTGACACTTTTCATGCTGAGCTGAAAAACTGAGCTTGTGTATAGAGAATAACTACAGTTTAATGTGAGTGAGTACTTAATGATTAACAGACAGCAGTTTTTCTGTTGACACATTGAAATAAATATTATAACAGGGCTCTCAACAGGGGGGAATTTTATAGTTTTGGGGGGAGGGAGAGGGAGAAACAGTAAGCCTGTAATTCAACTCTTAGTTTTAATTCATGAGTATACAAATTTATTCATGTTTTTGCATTTATCAACATTTTCTATACTTTTCATTGTTTAGATCAGTCGTCAACCCTTAGAACTTCATGGACCACTACACATATAATTTTATATTTGCCGAATCACTAATATGAATTTAAAAAACCTTTAATGAGACCTTAAAAACAACATATTAACATGCAAAAACAATATTCAACTTTCCAATACACGTAACTCTAATTTTCATGTGTTAATATAATTTTTGAAACATCTCTCCCCGAGAAAGAGATAACGCTTGTTGCACCAATCTACAGCTGTTACTAACAATGAACTTCCACTTTTAACACTTAAAAACTGATTGAAAGCTGTCTATGCTTGCTATTTCCGTCACTTTGTGTTTTGTAGAACAAAAATACTGAAAGTGAAAAGATCACCAGTCCTTTGAAAAAAGGGAAGGAAAAAAGTAATATTTAAACAAAAAAAAAAAAAAAAAAAAAGAGGGATATATAATATATTTCTTTTAATTTGCCTCGGACCGGCAAATTAGAATTCTATCCGCGTGCCGGATAGAACCTTTCGGCGGGCTGTAGGTTGCCCATCCCTGGTATAGAGGGACAGCAGTTCTACCTGTAACTTATTAATCTCGTCATAATGTAGAAAAAAAAAACATAATTTAGAAATTAATCATAATGTCGTCATAATCATAATGTAGAAAGTTAGTGGTAGTTTTAGTAGAGGGAAGTGTTGACTCCCTCTCACGTCTGTGGATTTGGGACTACTCCTACCGTCCTTGCCTTAGTGCCGTGGATGCTGTCAGCTCCCAACTTAAGCATTGGGAATTTTGTTTTTCTGCACCGATGAGGGGGGGGGCTGGCACCCCCTCATGCAGGCCTCCTGATGGAAGAGTCAATTCTAAGTACCGTGTATGGGTTGCTGTTGGCGACCAGGGACAGGGAGTCTCTTCCTACTATTTTACTGTATGAGAAGATACAATGTTTCTGGCAGTCATAAATAAAATTTTCAGCCCTATATCCATTGTGTAATCTGATTAAAAAAAATTTTTTTTTAGTTTTGTATTTGTCTGTTTCTTGTATATATTCTGGATTTAATGAAATTAATAATTGTGTTCTAGAATGTGTCCATAGTTGCTATCTAATTAGATTTCTTGCTAACATTATGTTTTGTACTAAGTGGCATTTTATTAACAGAGAAGAATCCCTCCAGAAAATATGCTCATGTGTGTCAAAGTAGATTTACAGAATGTTCTTCCACATTAACTATTACCATGGCTATATAAGATGTTCTGCTGAAAAACTGTACATGTATAATATTGTAATATTGCTAATCTAATGTATATATCCTTCATATGGATTAGAAATAAAAGCAACCGATCAGTGTTAAAAGTTTTTAAAGCCAAAAAAAAAAAAAAAAAGCTGGAAGCTAGGTCTATGATGTTTCAAAAATCAAAATCTTCAAAATGCATTCAGCCAGTGCTTGGGTTCATTATGTAATTCTTGCTTCTAATTTTTGTTCCTTGCTTGATTGACTCTTTTATCTAATTAGAGCATGTATGTACCAGCAGCACATGTTTTACTTTGATAATTTTGTTTAATGCTATAGTGAAATCTTTGTGTCAACTATGAATTGAAATCAAACCCTAATTTCTATTTTGAATTATATCCAATAGAATATATGCATTTTTTTTTTAACTAAGAGCAAAATAATTTTGTGTGCCCAAAAAATAAACAAGAATTATTAACAGATTAAATGTAGACATCAGATATGGTTTATCTTTTTAATTTTATGCAATTCTCTAAAATTTTGTTATAAAAGAATGCTTTTTTTATGTAATATTTAGGATGAAAATATTGACATCTTACCAGCTACAGATCAACAACCACAGATGAACCAAAAACGTATTACAATTCCATATATGACAAAATATGAGAGGGCGAGGGTATTGGGCACGAGAGCACTACAGATAGCGTAAGTAGCTTATATTTGCATGGGATATTATGCATTTTTTCAATTTAATTTTGATAAACATTCCAATTTTGTTTAACTTGCTTGGTGCATTTGCAGCCATATTATTAAAATAACAAGGAAGAATGAAAAAGACATGTGTCTAATTATATTAATGCCAGTGGAAAGCTTTTAATGGAGGTTAGGATTGTAATAGAATTTGATTTTTAATTGTAATAGAATCTGCTGTTGAGCATTATTTTTGGAAATAGTGTAATATTTCAGAATTTAGTGGGTTTTCTTCCAAACAGAATGGTAACTGATTGTTACAAAAGAGGTTACGATGTTAATTTTCAGCTTTTTTTCTTGTAAGGAAATGCAACATGTGCAGTCATTTGAATACTTATGATTATGTGTGTATTTAATTATGGCAAAGCACACTAGGGCTATCTGCCTAAGGGGAGGGATGCCTTCGTGGAGGACTTTCTAAGGGAAACTGGCTCGTATAAACGTTACACATGGGGAAAACCACGAAAAACACCCATGCAGCCAGCCCGTTCGCGGGATTCGAACCTCGGACCGAACTACCAGTGTTCAGCGACTTTACCGCTCGGCCGCTGGTGGGCTACTTATGATTATGTAATTTAGTTTCAGATTGTCTAGTTTTCAGTTACTAACATGGTATATAACTCAATTAAATAAAAGTAATAAAATAGGCAAATAAAATTTCTTAAAATTCAAGAACTGTTAATAGAATATTTATGTATAGAAATTTCTATGAATACTGTAAAAAGTGCAGCCAATGAATAGCTTTTCTGAGCTTATTTGAAAACATTTGTTCTCACTTTGTATGTCGTAATTTTAAATGTTTTTTTAAAAATTTCTATGAATATAAAATTTTGCATATATATATATATATATATATATATATATTTTTTTCTTCAATAGAATGCATGCACCTGTTATGGTAGAGCTTGAAGGTGAAACAGATCCTCTTCAGTTGGCAATGAAAGAACTCAAGTATGTTTCTAGATTAATTGTTAGTTGTATTGTTAAAAATAACCTATCTCTTCATTAAGCTCACCTAGTTAAAATTTTTTAACTTTTCTAAAATTGTTTTTAAGCGTTCATCTGGTTTATGTATTTAATTTTTTGAATTCAGACATAAATGAAGTATAGTAAAACAACTGGACTTCGAACTAAAATTTGAAATGTTCATCAAAATGCAGCTCACATGTTATGAAAAGCTTTGAAAGGAAAGAAAGTTCAAACATAACACTTTTCAGTTTAATCAAAAGGATGAAAAAGAAGTTGCATTTTTAGATAAGTATTGAGATCACAAATTAACTAGACAATTTAAACATTAAATTAAAAGCAAAAGTAGCTCAATATACACTGATGAGCTAGAACATATGACCATCCTCACATTTTTCAATGAACTCGTGTGGATGACCTGGAGCCCAACCGTGATTAATTGGGAATATTAATATTATAAGTGGGAATTATGAAGCAGGAACTGGTGCATAGCTCCTTGATATTCCTAAAGCCTTTGATCTTGTATGGCTTGAAAAGTTGCTCTGTAAACTAATCACTCTGGGTTTCTCCGATGACATCATCAATCCTGTGTTTAAGGTAGATACTTTGTCATTTGCTTCAACAGTTATTACTCTGCATGCTGGCAAATACTTGCAGGCGTTTTGCAGGGCAGTTTAATTGGTCCAGTGTTGTTCTAATTTATGTGAACGGCATCTCTCACAACATAAATACTGCAAACATATAGTATAATAGACGTATAATTGCATAATATAATAGACGTATAATTGTGACACAGTGATTGGCATCATCTTAGATAAAAACTGGCACATTGCACGCATTACTTCCAGGTTACTAAATCTAAAATGTTTCCCTTAAGCCCTTCGCGCCGACTGTCACATATACGTGCCAGCAACGAACGCACTTACCTACCGGCTGACACGCAGGCGTGCCAGAGGATTGTTCCGTTCTCTACCGACTGTCACGTACTTGTGCCAGTACTTTGGAACATTTTTCAAACTATAATTTCTGCCACAAGATGGCACTGTATGTCCATATGGTTTCAGATACATGTACATTAGACCTTCTACTCGAGATGAGAGAAGCGTGACTCACATACACGTGTTTTTGATTATATAAACAAACAGGGAAATAAATGTTTCCGAATGGTGTGATTTATGACGTCTCTTTAAATCGCACTTTATTCGCACGTGGTAGTTGTTTACTGTAAGTAGAGAAGTTTTATTTTCTCTAAAGTGTTGGGTATTTTGGTTTGCAGTTCAGTTTTTAGAAAATAATTAGATCTTGTTAGATGTGAATTCTTTGTTTTTACCGGTGCAATGTCGAAGCGTCGAAAATGTTTAACAGAGCATGAAATAGCAGAAATGATGCAAAATATTTCAGATATTGATTCTGAAATTCTGATATTCTGATATTGATTCTGAAAGATTAACTGAAAAACATTTTCCAAAACTTTGTTCAGAAGAGACTGATAAGAAAATGAGACGATGATGCTTCGTTTGTTCATATTCCCGGAAAAATCCTCCAAAATGGCAAATGAATTATTACGAGTGCAAGGAATGTAACGTAGGACTGTGTGTAGATCCCTGTTTTCAAATTTTTCATATGAAAAGAGAATTTTAAGTAATATATTTAGTTTTCAGATGTATAATGTTAAAATTCATAAAATGGTGAGTAATTAAAATAAAATGTGTAAAATATGCATTTAAACAAGAAATAAGGTAATTAAAGTATATATATAAAAATATTTATAAAGCATGAGCCGTTTAAATACTCTTTAGAGCATTATTAAACAATGCGTTGATACTTCGGAAATTTCATGGATTTAGGCTTAGTAGCAAAAAAAGCCCCCGCCCCTGGAGAGACGCTTGCGTAAGACACTGCCGGCCTCAGCGATAAGCGCGCGTTTTCGCTACCCGGCTCAAAGGGGTTAATTTCCCAGAACTCAGTTTTATCTGTAAGTAATAAATTAGTCGTATATAAGGCCATGTTTGCGTCTCAACATTACGTATGCTTGTCCTGTTTAGGTTATGAATGTAAAATATAAAAATATACAGACCTTCAAAATACTGCACTTGGACAAATCATAAGCAGTAGATGGTTCATCAGGAACAGCGCCATTCATGATATGTACAGTATCAATAGTATAGCCAAATTTATGGCTAAAAAGGCAAAAAAAAGGTTTTTAAAAATATTGAAAAAGTAAACAATGAATTAATTTTTTAAACATGAAAGACCTGGAGCTGTGCTCCTTCACTTAGATTAATCTAGTTTTCTTTGTAATTTTGTCTGACAACTGTAGCTTGTCGGATAGGACACAAGACTGCAAATAAACAGGTCACCAGTCTGAATCCAACTTTTTTCATCTTCATCCAATGTTCATATGGATTCGTTTTTTGATATTTATGGTTGCTGCAGTTGTTATTATTTTTCACTCTTCCATTTATTTTATCTTTATTTAAAATTAGAATAGCTCTGAAATTAGTCTCTGTCCTTTAACATATCTACTAAGCCAGTGTATTGTGTATTCTAACTTGACATCCTACGCCACCACAGCTCCTCCCACCTGCCATGCACAGCAGTTTTCACTGACCTGAGATCTACAGCTTTTAACTCTGTTTTCAACTGAAAAGGCTTAGTGTTTTCTTCAATAGCTGGAATAAGTCTCTTTTTATTCTGACACCATCATTCCAACCATGCTATCCAAAGTATAATGCTATCACTATATTGATAACTGCTAGGATTAGACAGGTCTTGTCACTTGCTCCACATGACCCAATCATCTAAGTGAATTGGATTTAATGTGACTACTAGTAAGTCAGTAACTTGCTTGCAGTTGTATGCGATAAAATTGCAATATTTGCAGTATTTAAAATAATTCCAAAACCATCTCTACTTCTAACACAATAAATGGTAAAACATTTTTTAAGTTTTGATTTGGACGCTTCATGTACTGAAGTAATGTAACTGCGTAATAAATAAAGAACAGGATCCACTGTAATTACTAAACCTTCAAACAGTGACTAAATTTGTATTCTAAATCTGTTAACAAAATAGTCAGTTTATTGCATATTATGATGCATTTTAAATTAGTATATTTATTTATTAACTTTGTCTATGTGCATATTTTTACTCCCCCTCTTTTTTTTTTTTTTTTTTAATTCATTCTCTGTTGGATTATTTCAATAGCTGACAAGTTATAAAAATTAATTCTATGAGTGATGGATAATCCATTTTCACTGTGCAGTCTGAAGCAATGACAGATTTTGTAGATGATATTGACAAGCTGTTATTTCCAAATAACTTAATTTTTTTTTTTTTTTTTTTTTTTTTTTTTTTTTTACTGTCATAGACATTTGAGAAATAGTTTTTCATATCACCTCCCATACTGTTTTTAAATAATTTAGTGCTTAGTAAAATAATGGAAGCCAAGTAGTTCTTATAAAATACTGCTTATTTTTAAAACTCTGAATAAAGGAAATTTTGTTTTCAAACCCGGCAAAATTCATTCTTTAGTTGGTGTTAGTTTAACAGAAAAGTTATTTTTGCATTAAACAGAATGTAATATGTGTCATTCTTCAGGAAGAAAATATATTCCGGGCAGAATTTTTCTCATCCATGTAACTAGTGATAGCTTCATTTACTTGATTTTAAGTTTGAATTCTTGTAGAGTTTGGCTTTTGTAACTTTTAGTTAAGTGAAAATATCATTAACAGTAATTCAGTTAATAAGGTAAGGTTATATTCTCACACTATTAATTTATTATTTAATCTATTATTTGGAATATAACTTTTAGTTTTTTTCTTCTAGAGTTCGAAAAATTCCCATTATCATTCGAAGATATTTGCCCGATGGTAGCTATGAAGACTGGGGTGTTGATGAATTAATGATTACAGAATAGCTGTATGCAAAATCTGTAATAAATGTAATTAATCTGTAATTAATATTTTGTGGCTGTCTGCAGTGCTTTTTATTAGCAACAGAATATGCTGCACTACATTGTGAATTCTAATTTTTGTATTATCTTTTTCTTTTATCTTTTTGATTAAAATTTTTTCTTTCATTGTATGTCTCACAAATAATACATTATATTGCATTATCATTATTATATATGTTCAAGCACTTTAAATTATAGTGAAAGATTCTTAATCACAGTAACAAAGCAGAACATATTGTACAGCTGCCAACCCTCCAGTTAAGCCAAAAACGAAATCGTTTTCTAAAAAAAGTTTGATGAAAAATTTCTTAGCGCATCCTGCAATAAAAGCTAAGGTAATATTTATCTTCTCTTATAAAAACTGAAATTGTCAAATTTTGTTATTTCATAAGTGATTTTTAGGATAATTTTCTGATTAAACCTTTATTCCATTTGAATTATTTTATTGTTTTAGAGATTTGTTAAATATCTAAATATTTTTATTTAATTTTGTTTTAAACTTCATTGAGCCATGCCAGGATCTTCATGGTTGGATCAAAGCCATTTTTCACGATCAAAGGGATCATACACAAGTACCTTTTTTTTTTTTCTTTTCATGTTCAGATTTTTTATAATATAAAATTAAAAAAAAATAATAATAAAAAAAAAAAAAAATACAGAATTGACTTAAATTAGGAAAAAGCAATAGCTTAATATTTAATTCATTATTTTAATTTTATATATTTTACATCCAAATCTAGTTATAACTAGTTTAATAATATAAATTGTTCTTTTAAGTTTGGCAGTTTGGTGTCCTTCTGAAGTTGGGGCAGTGCTTGTTATACAGAACCACACAGTTTTTTATATTCCAAAGCTTAGGAGTTTTTAGGCAGTTTTAAGCTCAGGAAATCAAAATGAGCAAATCCTTAAAAATGAGTATTAATGCCATGTAAACCAATTATACTGTGGGCATTTTATCTGAATCTTTTCTATTTCAGTAGAATAAAAATTTACAATAAATTCAAAAATAATGACCTCATACTAATCTCAATTAAACTTGATAAATATTTATTCATACTTAACATTTTACATAATCATCACCACGTGCAAGGAGAAGGAGAAGAGTACTTATATCAGCTGGCTTCGGAGTATGCTATGCGAAGGGTTACCTTCTGAGTGTCAGACTGCAAATGAATCTCTATAACCTGCCTTTAATACAGTCACAATCCTCAACACTGTTCATTATTTATTGTAGAATGGAACTGTCCTCTTCATCACTCTAAATATCAGTTTGGAACAGTTTGTTTAATGCATTTTGTAGACAGGAACATTTACCCGGATTCTTCCACTTCAGAACAGTCGGAAGCGGATATTCTCAATTGCTAGCTAATTATCAGTCTAGAACAGTTTCTGTGTAATATTTTGTGCATTTATAATAATGATGCATCATTTATCGCACATCATCCGTCAGAAGCCGATATTCTATGTCACTAAGCTTCAGCCCGAAATAGTTATAATACTTCGTAAACAGAAACACAATGTCCGGATGATCACACATCATCATCATTCCGAGCCAGAAGCCGATGTTCTAAGTATCTAAACCTGAAATTTGAATTGCTCATACATCTTATCACTTCCTGCACTCGATAAAGAACTCTCTCGAAAAAAGTTTTTGTTGATATTAACTTGGGACTCATAAATTCGGTATTTCTTCACATTACACACATCTTGAGAAAGACACAGAACCAATTGTCCAATCTTCTTCATAGGGGATTCATACATTCACAGCCCCTTCTTTCTTTGTACTTCAAATCATTCAGTAAAGCTGATCACCTATGAGGCCAATAACCTCTTTAGAAATGTTCTTTTATCTAGCACATGTCCAAGAATCATTATTCCGTTACATCACCCCAAGAAAAGGCGAGTAGGGTATTTTTTCTCATCTCATTTGCCATAGGAAATTTCTGACCATTTTCACACCTTGAGAAAAATCTCTCAAAAAATAAGTCTAGTAGCCAGTGTATTTACCCGTTTGTTTACTGTACAGGCCAAGGATCATTTAAACAATATTGGGGCCATCTCGAAGTTGTGCCTTTTTGTTTTAAAGGTGCCGCATCCATTTAACTTCTATTATTAAATAATTTAAACTGTCCCTTGCTTTTGAGTTATGTTTGTGCAAGAGGTCTTATTTTAAAGCACACATTCTTTCCATAAGTGCCCCCGCTGGCTTACTTATCTCAATATGCAGCAGAAGGCATTCTCTTTCTATGCAACAGACACAGAAAGCAAAAGAATTCTTTATTCACAATCTATTGCCGATTGCTTTTTACCTTTTGCTGGAGCCTTTATCAATTGTTCGTATCTCTTCTCGACTCTCCAGTCGAGGGATCACACAATATTTAAAATTAATCTTCAAGCCAAAATCTCTGTATATCATTATTCATTGCATGCCTAGTTATTTGCATACTTTAATTTTTTGAATTATTATTTCAAATTACAATGTACTCAATTTAAAGTATTACATTTATGAAACTTTTGCTTAATATAAATTGTAAGTCTCATAGTTTCTCAAATTTGTGACTTAATCTGGATAGACGAAAATTTTGGAAAATTGTTATTGCAAAAACTGCTCAGTAAAATTTTCTGAAAATTGCAGATCCTGGCCAGCAGAACTTTGGCAAACCTATTTAATTCAGCATGTGAACTTCCCCCTTTTCTTCCATGGTAAAATTGTCACTCTAGGTATAATTCTTAAACATAAAATTTTAAAATTATTTCCCTAAGGATAATTCTTAAATATAAGTCTGAAGTTTCATTAGTATTTTAAGTGTGAAAGAGAAAGCTTTGACATGTGATTTGCTTTCTGAAGTATACTGTTACTGATATAGTTTTGAAATGAATGTCAGAGTAATAAAAATTATTGAAAAACACAATTTTATTCATACAAAGGTACATAAAAACTATAAATACAACTCTAAGCCTTTACATTTTTCAAAACTTGCTGAGTGTGGAATGTAAGATTCAAACCAAGCTGCATTGTATGGTACGTAAAGGTGGGATGTGCTGGGAAAAGAACATTTGTTATTGATATGAAACATAACTGGGATCTGAAACAGGACAAACAAATTCACAACATACCTATGATCTCAATGCATATTTAATTGTAAGCCATAAGTGATATTAACTTGGCAATGAACTTTGTGAGAAATGACAATAAGCAAGCTTATATTTCCAGTGAATTATTTCAAAATATTAACTTTTAATTATATGTTTAAACATTAAAAAATGAAATATAATTGAGTGTTAAGATGTTTAAATTTTATTAAATTATTCCTTCACCATGAAGGTACTACTCTTGCTGATGCGCAACTGCTGGAGTAGACTGATAAATTACGAAAATAATCACGAAATAATTTTTGTAGTTCATCAATCTACTTATCATATAATTAAATTTCCACAGAAATTTTATCAAGAGATATTACATAATAATCTGATATCTAAAAATAAAATTTCAAATTTCAGGCTCTGAAATCCACATTTTGTATCAAAAACTATTCTGCTGAATTTCCTTGTTTTCTGCAGTTTCCAAACACTATTTTTCTTGACATAAAATTATCATTTGTCCATGTTTATGCCGATGACAGGGATGCATGTTTGTCATCGGCAGAGTTCCAGCATCACAAATGCAGGATTTGTCCCTTTTTATTTTAATCTTTCAATGCATTCAGTGCTTTCTAAGGGAAAGTTCCAACCAGTGGCACATTGCATAATCGTAATCATTGCATGCGAGACCCGTAACAGGCAATTTATGTTTATGTCCACCTGTGTACAGTCATTAAAATCACTGATTGCCTTCGGAACAAAGGAATTGGCAGAATGTATTTAAAATATTTTCTAAGGGGTTCTGCCCCCTGTTACACTAGCACAGTCCTCCACGTTTTCTGGCCAGTCACAGACATTCTCATTGGGATTGAAGACTAAGTTGACTGGGCATGGCATATGGTGTCTTCGCTTTCCTTCACACATGTAATACTTGGCACATTCTTTTTTGTCTACATGATAGCTGATATGCCCGTCTTCTTCTTCACACACGACTTCATCCTTATCTAAAAGAGAAGAACAATAGAATTACTAATCCAGAATAAGATTTAAATGATAGTAAATATAAAAATTCCCATTAAATACAGTCAAAAGTCTTTAATCCAGAATCGTCGGGACTTCGGCGATTCCGGATTATCGGTTTTTCGGATTGTAGATCATCAATTTAAATCTGGTAAGATGGCGTGCAGAAATTATAAAATTAAAAATATGAAACCATAATTTATGAAGTAAAGAGCAATTATGATCTAAAGGGTATCAAAATTTACAAAAAAAAAAGCTTAATATTTATTTGTTTACTTTATTAAACATTTCTTTCAACGTGGGCATGCGTAAAGCATAAATTACGCATGGTCAAAATTAGAAAATTGCAACCAAAAAACTATTTGATGTGTATTCGTGATATTTATAATGACGAGGAATTTGATTTAAATCATATCAAAGACGGAGTACATCGAGATTAAATACTACATTTAGTAAGGAATTATAAGCCGAATAAAATAAAAACATCTGCCGTGAAGATAAGGATAGTGCTGACAGATCAACTGCCAGTTCATTGCGCGCCGCGACGTTCCCCCTTTCCCCCGCAGAGCAGCGTGAAATTGATAAACAGATTTCGGAATGGTTAGAGAAACAAAGGATATGCCTTTATCCATTTTTTGCAGCATTTCCACTTTTTGTTTGATGGACATCGAAACTTTGTAGATCCTTTGGCAGCTCCAGAATCGAAAATTCTTTTTGACATAATCGAAAGTTAGAGCTTACTTTTATAAAATTGCTCTAACAGTCTGCAAAAAATAATAAGCCGGATCTAATTAGAAGATTAAGGAACAACGCAATCTGCAACATTAACTGAAATAGATAATTAGATAATTTTAGCTTAGCTTATACCGTCCGTTATACATTAAACGGGCATGCGTAAACGTATTACGCGCATAATAATGCATTTACGCATGCGCAGAAAGTTTGTAGCTTTGAGGTCCGGATTAAAGACTTTTGACTGTACTTCAGATAGATGGTGTTCATGTTAATTTGAAACACAAAATTAAGAAAGCCTAACATCGCTTTAAATAAGCAAAGTTAGCATTTATGTTCTATTCAAGAACATCATTCTATCCTCCGGATATATTTAAGAAGAATTTAAAGATACCAATTATTTTATAATATGATGAATTTGGAGGACTATAGAATATTTTTTTACTCTTCAGAATGGTTCGCCCTTCTACCACCAAGTGGCAAATAACACTCTTGTAACATGGCTGGCAGGGAATAAGAGAAAGCATTTTACTTAAGTAAGCCAGTGATAATTATTCAATTTATGAAAATGGTATGAGGAATTTCAAAATAATCATTTGATCCTGTATGTAAAAAATGTCGGGTCATCCTATCGTTCGCAGTGAGACTGCTGAAAGAATTCAAAGGACCTAATGCTAGAAGAGACTATATTCAGCAGCCAATTATGAGGTGGGCTTTCTTTAAATAGGCTGCATAGCCTTTGGTGTGGTTGTTTGAAAATGAATCTTTAACCAACTGCTAGGAGTGTTGTTTCAGTGCATGTGGTGAATGCTTGTACATTTAAAAATGGGAAAAAAATTTTTTTTTTAACTTATCCATATTGCAAAATCTTTTTAACTATGTTAGATCTGTAGATATGCATTAATCAACTGTTTTAAACTCGGAACTGAGAATAAAACGACCTGTGTTGTTTGTATATATTATTTCTTTTTGCTCAGTATAGTGCGTACTGACGAAGCGTGGCATCAGTTGATGGAATGTATTACATATATACTCTATTCTTTCAGAATAGATGAAACAGGACAAATTGCCATGTTGTCGCATTATAACTACAAGGAAAGAATACTCATTGTTTGCTAGTGACTTGAGTGCAATTTATAATTATTTCTTAGTATGAGGCGTATATTTTCTGCTTCAAGGCTTGTATTGTACTAAGTTTGTCTAATCTTTGCTTCTGGACTTTTTTTCAGAGTTCCATATAAGAATGTATTCTATCTATAGGACTAAGTTTCTTTTCTAGAAATTAGAAATATAGCTGAATTGTAACTGAAAAGTTTTTAAAGAACATAATTCTATAGATATTTAGCTTTCTAATTTTGCCTGAAAACATATTAAAAATAGTAGACTTTTTCTTTTTAAACAAGGATATGAAATATAAAAATACGAGTAGAAGACTTTTCAAACGACACAATAAAAAACTATTAGGGGTTTAGTAATTTATGAAGTTTAAGAAAGATTTTTTTTTTGTTTTGGTCTTCATTTGATAGTGACAGAATAAGTGTTTATAAATAAATGCAAATTTATCAATTTTTATTGTGTTATAAGTATCCATTTTAAGGCATGAAAATTCTCACTGTTATATCTGAACAAATTCAGAGCTTTTCCCACATGAGTGATCTAGAAGAGATTTTTATTTACAGCAGCAAATGGCTATAGCCGCAAAGCTTTATGAAGAAGTAATTAAATTTTAAATCGACTGATAAATTATAAAAAAGAAATAAATAAATAAAAAATCGAAAACCAAAAGCTGTCATTTATAGATATACTGATCGATCTACTAAGCAGGTAAAATTACATAAGATTAGTAAATCTGAATAAGATTAAAAAAAAGTCAGCAGATTTGCCCGTGTATATTTCTATGTTATTCAGAATATTATAAATTGCCATTTAACAGTTTGTATGAATACCATAGAACCTAAATTATGGATTCTCTGTTTGTTTCAATCAAAAAGCATAGACAACTATCACACAATAGTGTGATAGTTAGTAATTGACAATAGTCAAAGGTCTTTTTTTTCTAAAAGAATGGGCATAAAAATGTGTAATTAGGTAAATTTATTATGAAAATATATTATATCTAAGCAGAAACGTGAAAACTTTAGTTCTTATAATGCGTTTGAATTCGTGAACTTTCTGAAGGAACAGAAGTTTTCAAGGTTTAATTTTTCCGAAAATTTAATTGATAAAAGAATTTGATTTCAATTTTAGTGAAAAATGGACTTATTAAATAATTGTACATTTATTAAATAAGGATGCAGTTCAAGAACTTTCCGACCTTTCCACTTTTGCGATCGTAGCAAGTGCCATAATCATTGCACAATATTTATTTTCTCCACCTCGTCTGAGAATGTAGCTCAAGTCAGCCTTCATTCGAGGCCTTTTACGAAGGGAAACGCATTAAGCAGAAATAGAGGGGACCATAAAAAAGCCCATCCACTGCAGCTGCAGTTGCCATGGTTACAAGGCAAGCCAGGGAGGAAAATGACCCTGAAGGGTACATTCTAAAGTAACAACGAACAACAGTAACAGTAACAACGAAGAATACTTAACAGACTTCCTCACATCCAATATACTGACTTTGCTGTTGCTTTAGATCCTCCTTTTTTTAACTGCATTTGATAGGCCACTGACATGACTTCTGAAAAAAAAAATTTTTTTTTTCTGCAGGGGCATATAAAATAAATATATTCCTTTTTACTACTTGAATCTTATCTAAGCGGTTAGGAAAAATGTTAACACAAATAGGTTCTGCATGTGGCAGGAGCTCGAATATCGCATTGATACTAAGAAATTAATCAAGTGAGTTATAACATTAGATACTTATGAGTTTATCAGGTTCTCAGTGTTCCACAGTATCTAAATGTATGCACTGCTCAAGCAGTGGCCTTGAGTTAAACATATTTCGTAATATAACAGGTTGAAATCCTTCAATATTTCTTATTAGCCCTGAGTTAAATTTTAACTGAAATTAATTAAATATTATGGGCTTATACTGCCAATATCGTTTGGCAAAATTAATTTCGTTTCATACCTGCAATGGATGATCTTACGTATCTGTTAATTCCCATAATTTTCAGCTGATAAATACCTTATTTTAAACTGCAAGCCAAATTACTTATTTTTAGAACACTAGCTATGCAACTTTATGGTATGGTAGTTCGAAGGTTTTGCTGTCACACATATTTTGGTTCAATATGCTGCAATAAGCATTTTAGCATGTGTTAGAAAATCTAATGAATAAGAGTTAAATGACATAAAATTGTCATTCTGGAAATTCCTTTAGAAAAGAAATATGTGTCGTAACTCCTTAGATGTTTATATTATTTGCAATTTACTCACCTATTAATGCATTTAGAATGTTGCTACTCAAAACTTCAAGATTCGCTACATTGTAGCCTTTGAGTTCTTCTTTTATGGTATTTATTAAAGGATATTTAAGACCCATACAAGTTCCTCTGAAGTCATCCATATCTACTGACCAGATCATCACTCCTCCATAGCCAGCTTCTTTTAGCCATTGCATCTAAGATAAAGTGATAAAATAAAAGAAAATGATTTAATTGATGCTTAATGAATATTTTAGAGTAAAAAGGTCACAAATAGCAGAAATAAATTTTATAATTTTTTAACAAATTTCCTTCGCAATCATCGCATTTTGTTTCAAATATACAATGTATTCCTGAAAGGTTACCGTTTTTTATTTTTATGCTTTGATCTCATTCATGTATTTTCAATGTCCAGCATTCTAGCGAGAGGATTTTATTCTGTAAATGTAAGATCTAATTTTCATATAATCCTTATTCAGCAAAACTTCCCATTAATAATGCATTCGTTATAGATTAAGAAATTAAGCGTAAAATGTTCCATGTCTTCATGAGCAAAATTTGCAAGAATAATACATAAGCTTAACTTTCTCATGGCGCCAGCTGCAAGATTAATAACGAGTGTTGTTTATTCCATAAGGGGAATAGCGATTCTTTTGTTTTGTAACCTCCTTCCTCCCGCAAATCTGGATGTCAGTCTTTGGGAATCTCTTGACAGCCTCGGGGCATTTTATTTGTGTAGTGAAATGTCTTAGTGACTTAAGCACAGCTGCTGATCAGATTTATCTATTGACGTCCGTTGGTTTGTCCGAGTAGAAATGGGTATTGCGAAAGAGCAAAATTCCAAACTATGATTTGGTTGCATGCAGATGATTTTCACAGTATGACGGAAGCGTTTTGCTTCAGCTGCAAAGGTCTCTTAATCACCAAACTTAAGCCCTGTTAATCGTTTGAAATACAGTATAACGAATCTCATAGTATTAGAAATTAAGTTTTCCATAAAGCAAATTTATAATTAGAAGAATACAAGTTCAAAACTGAAATTGCATTGTGGGCAAAGCTAAGTCCAATAAAATATTAACCATGTGGTCCTAGCAAAAATCGTTAGGGAATTCAACATTCCGAGATCCACAGTGTCAAAAGAGTGTGCCGAGAGTATCTAATTTCAGGCATAACATCCCACCATGGACAGCGCAGTGGCCGACCACCTGCACTTAACGACCGAGACCAGCGACGTCTGCGTAGAGTTGTCAATGTTCCCAGACAAGCAACACTGCGTCAAATAACCGCAGAAATCAATGTGGGACGTACGAGGGACGTGTCCGATAGGACAGTGCGGCGAAATTTGTCTTCCTTGGGCTATGCCAGCAGAAGACCGACTCGAGTGCCTTTACTGACAGCACGACATCGCTTGCAGCGACTCTCGTGGGCTCATGAGCATATCGGTTGGTCCCTAAACGAATGGAAAACCGTGGCTTGGTTAGATGAGTCACGATTTCAGTTGGTAAGAGTTGATGGTAGGGTTCGAGTGTGGCGTAGGCCCCACGAAGCCATGGACCCAAGTTGTCAACAAGGCACTGTTCAAGCTGGTGGTGGTTCCATAATGGTCTGGGCTGTTTATACATGGCATGGACTCGGTCCTCTGGTGCAACTGAACCGATCATTGACTGGAAATGGATACCTTCAGCTACTAGATTACTGATCACAGATTCAACATGGACTTCACGTACGTACTCAAACGACGATGGGTTTTTTATGGATGACAATGCGCCATGTCACCGGGCCACAATTGTTTCGCGATTGGTTAGAAACATTCTGGACAATTCCAGCGAATGATCTGGCCACCTAGATTGCCCGACATGAATCCCATCGAACTTTTATGGAACATCATCGAGAGGGCAGTTCGTGCCCCCAAAACCCTGCACCGTCAACACTTTCACAATTATGGACGTCTATAGAGGCAGCATGGCTCAATATTCCTGCAGGGGACTTCCAACGACTTGTTGAGTCCATGCCACGTCGAGTTGCTGCACTTCGCCGGGCAAAAGGAGGACGGACAAAATATTAGGAGGTGTCCCATGACTTTTGTCACTTCAGTGTAATTATGTTTCGAAAATGCTACTAGACAACGTAATAATTATGCTTCGAAAAGGCTACTAAACAACATAATAATTGTATTTCGAAATGCTGTTAGACAATGTAATAATTATGTTTCAAAAATCCTACTAGATAACGTAATAATTATGCTTCGAAAATGCTATAAAACAACGTAATAATTATACTTTGAAAATGTTACTAGACAGCGTAATAATTGCGCTTCGAAAATGCTACTATAATGATTTCGATTCTACATATCGTTGAGAGTATCTGTTTCTCTATATAATAATTCTGTATTTTACTTTCTTTTCACAGCTACGAATTATTTCAGTTACGAATTTAAGGGAAATAAATGGTAAAAAGTAGAAGAATTCACTGCAAACTTAATATAGGGAAACGCAAGAATTCTTACAATTATTTAACATAATCATCAATAACTTGAATATTTGGAATGAGCTTATTATTTTTATGCAGTAGTATTTGGAATAAGCTTATTATTAAACTAATTCAAAAATTAATATTCATAAATCAGATATAAAGCTAATGCATAAAATAAAGTTGCCAAAATATATACGCAAGTTTATCATTCAAATCATATATTTAAGTTAAATGTTTAACATAATCCTATTTTGTTATACTTAGAATCGATTGTTTTAGAGCTACATTGACTTTCCTTTCAAAACTTATTTGCGAAGTAGATCAATAAAGAACATAAAAATTACCTTTGTTTTCAAACTTCTTTGGTCATCAAATCCAACCCACTGGTTATCTTTGTAAGCATAAGGTACCATCTGTTCATTATCCCAAACTAAGATCGCTCCGGATTTTAAGAAGTCACAAACCTGTAATTCAATATAAAACATTTATTAAATTTGTTATAAGCCTAAAAGATGATTGTAGAATTCAAATATTTTAAAATTTCATTGCTAAATCTATAATTTGTAGTACAAAAATATTCCTTCGCATTACTGTGTTCAGAGATGTAGACATAGGCGAGTAATAATTTTTTTCTCCACTTCTGGTCACTTCTAGTGTGCTTGAAGTTAAGCAAAATACAAGGCTTAGTTGAAGAATTATTACCAATGAAGCAAAATGAATGATTTAATTTATTGTTTATTTTCAGTTTTATTGAAAGCTTCATAAAAGTCAGCAGCTACTAAACCTTTTTTGATTACTGTCCCATTTGCTACAGTAAATTATACAAAATACCACATATATCTGTACTAAAATTTACTTCAACTAATTTTGCAGCGGAATTTGACCAGTTATGGAATATCTGGGATGTTGTTGAAATAAAGAATAATGTCTTGATCTATGTGATAATTATTGATAGATCATGGATGCCTTCGTGAAATGTATTTTAAGTAAAACTTGCTGGTATATACATACGTAAGGAAAGCCATGAAATATGTATTCAGCCAGCTTATTTGCTGGGAATCGAACCCAGAAAGAATAGAGTGTGTGTATTGAGAATACGGTAAAGCACTCTAGGGCTATCTGCCTAAGGGGAAGGATGCCTTCGTGGATGACTTTCTAAGGGAAACTGGCTCGTATACACGTTACACATGGGGAAAACCACGAAAACGCCCATGCAGCCAGCCCGTTCGCGGGATTCGAACCTTGGACCGAACTACCAGTGTTCAGCGATTTTACCGCTCGGCCGCTGGTGGGCCCTCGAACCCAGAAATAATTATAAATATGCAGCGGTTTCACCATACTCTGACTGTTGGGCACGGTTATTTTGAAACAAATAAAGGAATATTTGCTAAATATTTAGCGAAAAGGATTAAGCTATCTACCAGAATAACAAGAATGAATGCACAACCTTTGAGTGAATAATTATGAGAAGAATATCAACTCCATAATGCTAGGTTTAATATTCGTAATTGAGGCCCCAGTTTACGATTTTCAGACGAATTCATCTCGATTGGTCAAAAATTGTTAGACAGCAATCAAAATGTCTAAACGTGGCCGTAGAAACTCGGCAAGTAAATTTTTAAATAAAGTTACAAAATAGTATATCAATTATTCCGCTTTGTATTTTGTACCATTTCTCCGAAATTTGCTTGTTTATTATGGATTATTTAAAAATATATAGCAAAGCGACAAAGATCTATTCATCTCTCTCTTTGTTCTCAAAATATCCCTTAGTGATTGTAATTATCCAACAGGTGTAGCATTATCCGATTTAAGAAACAGTGTCAACTGACATTCCAATTTTGCATAAGAACGTTACCCAAATAGAGTGTGTGTGATTATGGCAAAGCCTCGAGGGCTATCTGCCTAAGGGGAGGGATGCCTTAGTGGAGGACTTTCTAAGGGGAACTGGCTCGTATACACGTTACACATGGGGAAAACCACGAAAAAACCCATGCAGCCAGCCCGTTCGCGCGATTCGAACCTCGGACCGAACTGCCAGTGTTCAGCGTCTTTACCGCTCGGCCGCTGGTGGGCCGTTACCCAAATAGAAGGGAAAAGAAAATCTTGCATCTTACTGTATCATTAATGCTTTATATTTCTTTTTAATTTTGACTCAGCTCTTGCTTGCTATTTAAATATATTGTGTTTTCGACACTAACTGCAGTTAACTTATTTTCTTATAATAAATACTTTGTACATATTTCTTTCAATGTTTCTGCTTATTTTTCATTAAATAGAATAAAAATAAAATAATATTAATAATAATAAAATATATATTTTAATATTAGATATTTATAATGCAAATGGATTACATATCATTTTTATTTTAATATTGCTTTCCCAAATTTGGAGCGGGAAAGGAAAAAGATACGGAAATGCAAATTAATCTTTTAAGATGCAATGTTTACTCAATAGATGGCAGCACTAAATTATTATATAAAACCATTTCTTGTAATGTCATATATGTTCGGCAGATGGCAGCACCAGCCATAATGAGAGTTTTCCCCCACTTCTGATTTAATGGGCCTTGAGATGTAGCAAGAAATTTTAAATAATTATAAATAGAATCTTGCAAAGCGTTTTGAAATTAAGGAAATTATTCTGGAAGCTTGAAATTGTACATATAGTTTTGCTTCCATGCATCCATTCGAAAATAATAAACAACAAAAATTAAAAAGTCGTTAATAACAAAAGCAATGCAGTTCAGGGTTGGACTATGAGTTTACGCACAACAATTAAGAGATCACGGAAGAACAAACGAAATGCGGTTGAATCTGCGCTCAGAGTTGACTCAGAGAGCAGGATATACCATTGATAATAAATGGATCACAGAGTGATGGATACTTTTGATAATAATGGATCACAGAATTACCAGACCCTGGTTAATTATCGACCTTGGCTAATCATCGAGTTTAGTTAAAAAGCCACTGCCGTTTATTAAAACACCATATAAAAATTTAAGTAATATAAATATATAGATAACATAAAATTCACAGTTTAAAATTCTTTTATTATTGATACTAATGGACACAGTGAAGGTTTCCATTAATAAAGTAAATTGAAACGGAGCAAGAAACGAAAAGAAAATATTTATTTTTAGGTGAAAATAGAGCTTATCATTTTACCTATATGTAAAGGACTATACATTTAAAAATTTAAAATAATCATATTTATCATATTTAGCTAAATATTTGAAAGTATTTTTCCTTATTTAAAGCCTGGTTTTATTAGTATTAAAAAAGTAAAAAAATAACAGAAAGTGTCTGAAGAAATTTTGGAAAATTTTAAAGATTTTGAACAAAAAAAAAAAAAAAAAAAAAAAAAAAAAAAAGAGAGAGACTATTTGATATATTTGTTTCCTCGATATGATAAAAGTTGAAATTAGTATAATTTTTGAACGCAAACTTCGAGATGATAATTAAAACGCTAAATTTTATATTCAAATATAGTGTTATGAGAAATGCGACAGGTTGTATAATGTATAATTCAATTTATTAGAGTCACGAATCATGTATATGTTTCACGTATGCATTTGTTGATGCAATAGAATTGAATATTTTAAGAGAAGAAACGAAATAAAAATATTTGAAATTTAATACTTAATCGAATTGCATTTATTTAATATTAAATAAATACGAAATTTTGTACAACGTTCTGGAAAAAAAAATGGGCTGAGAATTTTCATTGAAATCCAAGAGAAAAAAGACTCGAAAATAACCATTAAGTGAAAGGAACAGATAAAGTAACCGAAGATCCGCAAAATGTTTCATTAAATTAATTTTATTAATAATATAATAAAATTCATTATTTTGTTAATAAAATAAACTTCGTTAAACATTTCATCTTTGTTAAAAATAATTTTTCAGTTATTTTCGAAAACTGTATTCTTTTTCCTGTTAATGGTACTTATGACTATTATGAAAAATTTACTTTAATTAAAAACGAATCTGATATTTCTCCCTTTATTTCATTTTAGGACACAAATACTTCCTGTTTTATAGTTGTCTTTGTAAATGAAACCAGCTATATTTAGCATTGTTTACTTGGGAATGACAAAAGTTTAGTGCGTAATTAAGATGTGGAAGCATAAAATAACATGCATATTTTAACAGTATAAAGACACTGTTGTGTTTATTAAAGGAGGGGTAAGTTCATTTCATAAATAAGGAATGTATCAGTTTATCTCCATTATTTCATTATTTCTGTATGAGGTGCATAATACAGTATATATTTAGATAATATTTTCATTATCTAAATATGTCAAAATGCGAACGGTTAAGTCAAAATAAGAACGAAATTCCAGCGTTCCGATTAATGCTGCCATCTACCGATTAAGAATTACATTACAGGAAAGTGCAAGCTTTTGAGTTTTTTAAGGCTACCGCTCAGTGATTAAATATGTGTATGTCACCAAAAAGCATAAAAGCTAATATAATGTCATCTAGGCTACTAAATTGAAGCCTAGGACCCTTAAATTAAGCTTATAACTGTAATTAAGTAATATTTTAATATCTTAAACTGCAGATTATTTTTAACAACTGGTGACATATTTAATCATTTTGAAATATTACATATCCGTTAAAACTAGTAATACTGACACAAATGTAATACTTTTTTCCTCTCTCATTATAAAACAGAATTATGAAAATAGAAATTTAGAATTAAGCGAAAGAAAATTGTATCTAGGGCTGCAAGATTTCCTCAGTGGATGCTGGTACTAGGAAGATTATTCATGTAAGAATAGTTGCATAACACCTTTAAAGGAAAATTACTGAATTTTCAAGAAAAAATGTAAAATGAGGTCTCTGAAATAAATCCACACACATTCTTATAAAATTTAATGTGCAAGATGTAACATTCCTAATGTTAACATTCCTAATGTTAAGCAATGTAATTAATCACAAAATTATTTTCAAGCTGTGCTCCTGAAGTTTTAACTCTTATTTTCGTAAAATATGTTCATGAATTTTACGAAAAATAATTTACATGAAATTTATATTTTACATTAATTTTTATGAAATTACATTAATTTACATGAAATTACATTAATTTACATGAAATTACATTAATTTACATTTTACGAAAGTAATTTGCATGAAACATTTAAAATATAATTTTTTTTCTTTATCTAGGTATATAAATATAAATTTTCATTTGTGCATATTATTGAAAATTCAATATTAAAATAAATTATGAATATATTTGTGTGAGAAAAAGAAATCCAAGCATTTCATTTTACCTCAAAGAATGCCAAGACACCTGGTTCTCCAGTGTAATTTCCAGCTTTTCCGCCGTCAATAGCTGGAGCTCCAATATCCGTTAACGATGTGTTCTTTAATGTAAAAGTCCGACCATAAGTTGGAATTCCTATTATCAGTTTTTCTTTAGATGCACCTTTTTCGACCCATTCTTTTGCACTGTAATCCTGTAATACGTGAAGACAAAACTCATTATTCTGCTAGGTGTAGAAATACACATAAGTAAAATATTCATAAACTCAAGGACCCCTTCAGTGGCAATCCCTTTTCTGAGACGTCTAACTCCAAAAAGTAATGAATATTGAGAACGTAAATAAGAACCAGTACTGATCATCCTCTTTTTAAGTCGGCCATCTATACGTAAGAACATAAATTATGTGAAACAGATAATTTACCGATAATAATTCAGTTTTAAGTGGCTGATATGATCCTTGAACAAATCGAAGGATTAAATTTTTCACCTCCCCCCTCCCCGATTTTCTATAACTTTTCTCGTTCTTACTAAAACAAAATCCAATACTTTTTCCTGTATTAATTTAATATTTTTATTAAATGTATCTGATTTCTTCGAATGCAATAAACAATATTAAAAATAAGCACTAAATTAAAATATTTTATTTATTTATTTATTTAAAGTACAATGGGTGGGTTATGGGTTATTCAATTATGGCAAAGCACACGAGGGCTATCTGCCTAAAGGGAAGGATGCCTTTGTGGAGGACTTTCTAAGGGAAACTGGCTCGTATACACGTTACACATGGGGAAAACCACGAAAACGCCCATGCAGCCAGCCCGTTTGAGGGATTCGAACCTCGGACCGAACTACCAGTGTTCAGCGTCTTTACCACTGGTGGGCCTTAAAGTACAATGGAACCTCGAGTTGCGAGTTTAATTCGTTCCAACATTGAGCTTGTATAGTGAATTTCTAGTATCTAGAAACAAACTTCCTCATTGATAATAATGGAATTCCAGTTAACCCGTTCCCCACCCCAAAAATATCAACATAAAAATTAATTTTTCTAATAAATAACACTTTTAAATAATTTAACCGTAGTTTGCCTTTATGATAGCTTCCGAAATCGACCTTTTAACTTCTCGTCGTTAATTCACACCAACAGCAACTTCTAGGGGTTTTGGACGGTTCTTGGAAGTAACCGTAACTCCTTTGGCTACATCAAGTTTCTTAATTTCTTCTTTCTTCTTCAGAGTAGTGTAGATCGTCGATGTCGAACGGCCGTAAGTCTTCGCCAATTCCGTCACTCATAAACCACGCTTATGTTTATCTATGATTTCTTTCTCAATTTCAACGGCCATAGCTTCGTTATTTTTCTTTGCAGCACTATCAACATTCTTCAATCTATCAACAATCTAGCTTCAATCTATCAACAATCTGAGGCAACAATCTTCTTGGGAGGCATCGTGAAATAATTATTTTCACGTTAAAAGTAATAAACAATTAACTCACAAGCGCACAAACACATAGATCAAAGAACTCGGGGTGATCTGACAAAGGGATTCCCCGAGTCGAGCCGGATCGGGAAATGGCGCCAGCTATACCAACAGCCGGGCTCATTGCTCGTTACTCGAGTCAATGTTCGTATTTAGAGACACATTTTTCGCTCTTATTTTCCTCTCTGGAATTTCTCGTATATAGGAGGTGCTCGTATCTTGAGGATCCGCTGTAGACTTAACGGGGCTAAACCTTACAAAAGAATAAGTAAATTTTACCCCCCCCCCCACCAAATTGTTTACTTTTTATTTATTTCGGCAGAAGAAGGAAAATAGAATTAAATTAAAGAGTTAAGGTAGTACAAATCTAATGGTTTTAATTTAATTCCATTTGTAATCTTTCTCTTTTGAAGAAATACATACCAAATCTCGATTTTTTTGTCATATTTTAATCAGTACTTTTCATTAAAACATAAAATATCACTAAACTATTTGAAGTAAAATATGATTAAAACTTCACGAAGATTTCTTGAAAAGTTTTTGAAATATGAAATGCGAAACTTGGCCGAGGGGGGGCACACTTCTTGCGATAAAGGCTTTTTATCACTAAAGAATATTATTATTCTTTATTATCTATATTATCACTAAAGAAATTAACTCTTTATGATTTTATGAAATTCCCTCATGTGCTCTGGCGCCTGAAATTTAAGTTTTTTTTCATATATTTTGAATGAGGTTATTAAACACAATATTTATAAACAGGATGAGTTTCTTTAAATGTTAACATATGTGACCTATAATTATGGGAATTTTTTTTTATTTGAAATTTTTATGTTTTTAATAATATCGTCTAAATTGTATGGAATATTTTCACGTAGTTTTTTTTCTAAGTTATGGAGAACTGTTCAAATAGTAACATACATTTTTTTTTTTGTTCAAAATATCGACTTTTGTTACGTGAATATTTATGTATACATAATTAATATATAAGGTTTAATAATTTTAATTTAAATACCTATTTAAATAAGATTCATTGAAGCTATATGGAAACACCATTTCAATATCATATATTTGAACCGTCGTCAGCTTTAGAGTTATTCTTCCCTATAGAAAAAAGTATAATTATGTATATGTAGCATTATTAATTACGAGTGTTGTTAGGAAATGTAGTCAAAATTTTATTAAAGATAATTTTTGGTCTTTTTTTATATTATCTAAGGCATGAAAAATAAAATATCTGGTTTATTTGAATTTAAAAAGACACTCTAAGGCTATCTGCCTAAGGGATGCCTTCGTGGAGAACTCTCTAAGGAAAACTGACTCGTATATACGTTACACATGGGAAAAAACAAGAAAACATCCATGCAGTTCCTATCGAATCGAACGCAGGTCGAACTACCAGAGTTCAGCGACATTACCGCGCGGCCGCTGGTGGGCGAACAATAGATGGATTGATTTCAATTAGTCAACTTCGTATTCAAAGTGCTTATGAAAATGTAATTTCTGAGAAAATGTTTCTAATATTTCTTGAAAAACATTTAATATTCCTTGGAAAAAAATATATATTAACACATCTATTTTTATTACAATGCGTAAGAGAGATACACTGCTATTTGAAAAACCCCCGTTGACCGTCCATTTACTTCTTTGATACGCAAAGATTTTAATTTCAGTTTTTGTTTTATCTTTAAAGCGTTTACTGTTCAGCTGCCCACGTCCGCTAAATCTTTTTACGTTTTTAATGCACATAATATTTACTCTTCATAACCTTCTTTTGTTTTAGAATTAAATTGTTTGAAAGACGATGTTATCGAGAAAAGTTTATCTTTTCCAGTTATTGATAAAATTTCAAAGCAGTTTCTTCTTACCATTTATAAAATTCATTCTGCCATTAAAAGTATTAATCTTTTTCTTTCTATTAATTGCGAAACTGTTTGGAATTTACTCGTGGTCTTTCTTGCGGAATATTTCTTTCGAATGAATAATGTTAAGATTTTAATCCTTAAAGATCTTATTTCAGATTATTTAATGGAGCATTTATAATATTTTCTCTGAATGTAATTTAACAGACACTGGTAAAATCAAGAAAGCGTTAAAATTTTGGATTAAATAATACGAAATATACGTCAGGTAAGGAGAAATATATAAATCCTATGTAGATCATTATTATTGGTTTATTAAGCATTCTTTCAAACTGAGAGGTGATAACAAATCCAAAAATCTTTTACGTAAAATGAAATAAATTTTCTTGAAGTCTATAATATTAAGCTCTTTTAAACCACCACTAACAATTTATAATTTTAAAATCATCATTATAAAAGCGTTCGAAATATAGGCTTAAATCTTGTCGAAGGGGGGGGGGTGTTTTGACGTTTCTGAAGATATAATAAATTTTTTAAAATACTTGTGTGAAAGTCAGCATATTTGCATTCTCTTATTAGAATCAAGAAAATTCATATGTTCTTAAATTTTATTTTAAAATTGAAGATGAAACAGAAAACATCCTTGATAAAATTGTCAAGAAGCAAATTTCTTTTTCAAATTTGCATGTTCATATTTGTAGATGTGAAATATGAATTCACTGAGAAATTCACTTCATGTACATTCTTATAAAACACATCAGTAGATTTCGAAATGTGATCTACTGATGTGAATGATAATGATAATGAAAATGGCAAACGGAATTCTCATTTAGCTATCATTATCATTTCAAAGGACAGAAAGGGGTCGAATCGAAGTATTTCAAAATTCCAAGTACTTCATTTTGAAGACACATGCAACTGATTAAGGAAACATTATCAAATACTTTTATTGGCTTTTTTACATGCTAAAAATCAAACGTCATGCAAAGAATTTTAACATGAAAGGAAAGCCAACGAAGAGAGAAGTAGACCCAATGACTTACCATCCGGCCGGATGACGTCATTCATGCCATCAAAGCTAGATTTTTGGATTCGACTTCTCTCGCGTTGGAATAAATGTTAACAGCCGGAAAGAGTTTTGTATAACGAAGTGGAAACTTTGCGCAGTGCTTCTAACTATAAGAACATTTTTTAGTCATTTATTAGGCGGTGGAAAAGGAAGGCATTTCAAAACAACTTTCTTATTTGCCTTTCACGAGAAAGATATATTAGCGTTAGAACATTTTACTTTATCTTTCACTATAAAACATAGTAAGCCTGATCACCATAAAATTTTTAAAGTGTCCATGCAATTACAGAAGGAAATAAAATCGCATGCACTAAGCTGTATAACATTCTGATAAAGACTGTAACTCTGGATGTTTTGATTTACCATCGTATTACATTTAACACTCTAATACATCAATAAATCTGCGACCGTTGCTAAGCAACTGATTTTTTAGTTAAACAATAAAGCGATAATGTTGTTGCATGAAAAATAGCTCTTTATTTTAACTACATTGTATTACACTTTGGCATTTTGGATTTATAAGCAAAGCTATGAAAAAAAAAAAAAATTAAGCTTTCAGATTTTATATTACGCCCAAAGGGGCGTTTTTTTTTTATCGTTTTGTATGTTATCTTTACTTATTAAATATCATACTCTTCGCACTTGAAAACCATAAAATTCAATTTAACAGCAGTATTGCAAAATAATTTTAAAATGAGCATATCTTAAGAATTTCCGATACAGAGTCTCGCGCGCTGGGGATAAAAATGTTTTTTTTTTGTAGTCCAAAAGGGCTTTGTCCCTGAAGAAGTATTGTTTTCGTTTTGCGATTTTGCATCGGTACCCTATAAACGGCGTATCACTTTTAAAATCGTTGCCAGCAAATACTATCGCCCTGTATTATATTTGAAGAAATTAAATAATGAAGAATCTGCATAAAAGGTATGTATGTTTCTCGCATTGTGATAAAACAACGATACCTAGACCCATCAATTTGACTTACCAATTTTGAATGACGTAATACTACTGTAAATATGGGCATCTGCGAATATGGGAATATCGATTTCATATTTTTGATTAACAAACTCAACGATTTAAAGACGAACAATGGCAACACTCTATGAGGAGAAAAAAAAAAAAAAAAAAACCTTCTTATCTCCAGGGCGCGGATCATTTTAAAGTTATTTTGGACATAGCTGTTGAACTGAATTTTATGGTTTAAGTGCAAAGAACATGATATTTAATAAATAAAGGTAATACACAAAATGTTAAAAAACGCCCCTTTAGATGTAATTTAAAATCTGAAAACCTTTCAGATTTTATTATTAGTTTTCTTTTTTTTTTTCCTTTTCTTTTCCTTTTTTTCTTTCTTTCTTTCCCCCCCTTTTTTTTTCCTTTTTGTACAATTTTGCCATTGCATTTGAAACTGTTGAGTTTGTTAATCAAAAATTCGTTAAAAATTTGGAAAATATAAAATAAATAATAAAACAAATTCCAAATTTAGTCTTCCAGATGCCAATATTCGGGTGGAAACGAACGATATTCAAACTTTGATGGCTCTAGGTACCGTTGTTTTATCACAATACGAGACACATACATACATTTATGCATATTCTTCATTATTTAATTTCTTTAAATATAACGTAGGGTTCCAATATTTGGTGGCAACAATTTGCAAAGTAAACCGACATTTATAGTGAATCAACGCAAAATGCCAAAACGAAATTAATAATCCTTCTGGGCTAAAGCACTTTGGGCTAATAAGTATTTAATCTCATATACGTAATTCTGAAATATTCAGAAGGAATTAAAGGAAAAAAATAACAGAAAAAAAAGTAAATTTCATTAAAATTGATACAAATGTACTAATTCATAGACAATTACTTGTTATTTTAAATATAAATACTAAAATAAATTCTTATAATATTTAAAAACATTTTTCCTTCTTTTTTAACCAAATTAAGGGGCAAAATTTACGGCATTAGCTTGGAACATGTTCTCCTTTCTGGTGTATTAACGTTTTTCAACGAACGTATGGACAAGGGTTAAAGAGTAGTCCAACCTAAAAGTTCCCTTAGTAACGTTATGCTGCATGACCTACATTTATCAGCCGAGCTGTCAAGAGAAAATATTTATTCTAGTTATATTTGTTTACACTTTTTTTGACAACGTGAAGGTATTTTATATTTGTCTAAGCTTGACAATGGCACGTAGATGTTTGTGCTGAAAAGCATACAAAGATGACGCTTCTTTTTCTGTTACACTAAAAAGGATCAGTGCTTTGGAAAAAATTTAAACAAGGTTAGGATAAAATGAGTCGTTAAGATTGGGAAACTTTGACTGATTTATTGAGCTGGTAATATCTATTAAATCCCCACCAAGGTTAAAAAGGTATTTATTTCTCTTACTTGAATACAAATTAAGTAGCGCTACCAGATCTGATCTTGTTTTACCATCAGTATTGCGCAGTTTGACGAAACAAGATTAAGTAGTATATCTCACTGCTTGATTTGTTCTAGTTAGCATTTTGTTTATTTGATATTCACAAAACGTTCTTTTGTTACAAATATTTTCCAAGCACATTTTTGGAAAATGTAGTCAATTTGTTTCGCCTTTAAATATATAATTTTACTTTGGTTGTTTTAATTTTTTATAATAATGGGCTGAAGGCCCAAGAATAAAATTCTGTACAGTTGATATATAAGCTGATTTATTCATAAAATATTGCATAACTTTCGTTTGATTAAGTTTATTTAGCAATAATTAAAACATTATATTTACTCGTTTTCGACAAATCTAAGTTTTACTTTAAAGGAATTATTGTTTCAGAAGTCAAACAACAAAAATCAGCGTTATAGTTACAAAATTTTTCACAGGACTAGTTTCGATGGTTTTACCGAACCACCATCCTCAGCTGCAAAACCGCAAATGAATTATTGTTGTTGTTGTTCACTTGTCTGACCTATAGTCAGCCCAAGCCCAAGAAATCCCTTGTGTTAAGGAGCAGTTCCGCCCCCAGTTTTGATGGAGAGTACCCCGGGGGAGAACGGGTTCGAGGGTCTCCCACTCCTCTTTCCCTACCACCAACCTCTTGAGAGAACTTTCGGCTCGCCGCATATTTAGAATGCCCCCATGCCACACGGACACTCTACATCTACAAACATCCATACCTTTGCTGCTCAAAGTAAAGAACTGGGCCACCAGCGGCCGAGCGGTAAAAGCCGCTGAACACTGGTAGTTCGGTCTAGGGATCGAATTCCGATGAACGGGCTGGCTGCATGGGGGTTTTCGTGGTTTTCCCTATGAGCCAGTTTCCCTTAAAAAGAGCTCCATGGGCATCCCTCCCTCTCCGTGTAGTTCCTATGGGCGGAACACGTAATAAGTAAAAAAAAAAAAAAAAAGTAAAGAACTGGGTATAATACTTTGGAAGAAAGAAGTTCTTCCATTTTGTTACTTTGTTAATATGAAATAAACGAATATTTTATTTGCAAGCAAAATCGTTCATAACAGTAATTGGGGAATTATTACTCAAATTTAAAGAATCTAGCATTCTTAGAAAGCATATACTAACGAGCTCTAAAAAGCCTGTAGAAAATTTATCTTCAAGTTTTTGACATCTTTGCAAATTGTCGAAAGTATTTGAAAATGTAAGAAAATTTGTAGTTTGCTTAGGAAACGCAGTTCATATTTCTATCTTGAAGCAAAATAAAGGTACTGAATAATACAAATAAAGTTTTATCATTTTATTCACACTTTGAAAAAATTTATGTAACCTCTTCAATAAATCAAAATATTAAGGGCTTTAAAGTAGCTGCCCTGATCTCTATAGGGGCTGCCGTATCTTTAGGCCAGCGTTCGAGCAACTAAGATGTTTTAGATGTTTATAAGTGAGTGTCTATGGGAAATGAGGGCACACTTAAAATAGTGACGAACCCAAATCCTCTCAAGAGGCCCTGGTGGTAGGGCAAGAGGAATGGATCGACCCTCCATTCCGTCCCGTGGAATGTTCTCCATTACAACTGAGACAGAACATCCCCGTCGCGGGTGTAAAATAGGTCGCCTCTGAGGCAACGCTGTCGGTAATGAGAAGGCTTAATGATCAACGGATATTAACCATCCAGACAAATGTGTTAAACTGCTAATATACGGACATTTGAAACAACAAAAACAACGTCTTTATTGAGTTGCGCTACTCGTATTAACGTCTTCACTATTTCTGCTATTCCTGCTTCGGAAAAAAAAAAAAAAAAAAAAAAAAAAAAAAAGGAAATAGTTTCATCAACTTTAGTAATAAATTTTATGTCATTATATATCGGCAAACAATAAGATAGCATATCACTATCACTTTATTAATATTTATGTAAAAAAAGTTAACAAAACACTTTATATTAAATTTATTTTATCATTTCTTGTGCATGTAAGCAGTTTCCATCAATGGTGTGTGGAGTTACTTTTCTAGCTTTGTTATACATATTTATATGCATATGTACATATTATTGAAACATAATTTTTCTAAACTTTGCTGTATTTCAGACATAATTTTCCTAAACTATCGTTAGCTCGAGTTTTCGACACTCTTATTTCTTTCGCTTGAGTGTTTTTTTTTTTTTTTTTTAACAAAGTTTGGCTGTAATTAAAGTTTTTACAACTTACCACTGTTAATTTCTTTTGATAATTCGTTGCGCTGAAAAGAGCGTACAAAGGACTGTTATGTCCAACTTGTCTTTCCCAGTTTCCGTGGAAATCGTAAGTCATGACGTTCAGCATATCCAAGTACCTGCGAAGATTAAATATGTCATAAGAAGAAGAATATCTCTGACAAAATGGATATTTCAAGAGACAAATTGCTTTTGTTTTGAAGTTTTATTCTCAGTATGATAATTTCCCATTAATTAGGAAGATGTTTCAAAGCATATTTATTTCAATAAGACTGCAGAAGTGGTTTTTTAAACCGTAGCATCTTGAAAATAAGCAATATGAAATTTGACTTTGGGGGATCAAAGTATTTCATTTATAAGGGAAGTCACTTATAGTAAAAACTGATTTTCAAAGGGGTATATTGATATAATTCATACCTTAAATACATATAGAAATTAAAATGCTCAGTTCAGCGTTTACCACACTATATATTACTCAGTCAGCCAGCATCATTATTAGGTACGATTAAAAAATTCAAACAATATATATATATAAGATGATTCTAAATTGCTTTTACAAATCAAGAGGAGTGATAGTACCCATCCAGACTAGCAATAATTACCATAGAACATAGGGTCGCATTCCACTCTGAGAGGCAGAAAAGAAGCATCGAGGAAGGACAAGGAGACTATTTATCTCCTAATACTATCAAGAATTAACAGTATGCAAATATGCATTGAGAAGAAGCAATTTGCTCTTAATTGGTACTGGAGAAACCCAATCAGAGCAGACGGTGTCCTTGAAAAGCCATATCATCGCTTCAAGTATCAGGGCAGGTATCCTAGGTGATCAATCTGGCAAGCCCTTACAATCATGCCAGACGGTTTGACCGGCGCAACATACCGTATCTTCTTCGAAAAGTACTTCCCACTTTATTGCAGGCTGTTCCTCTCCCCATTCGGAGAGACATGTGGCCATAATTCAGGGAAGACCCAATCCTCCTATTCCCACTGGACCATATGATTATAAAGGGTCGACCCCCTCAAGACCACAAAAGGAAAGAAGAGAGGAAAAGAAGCTAATTAACTAAAAATAATTGGAGGCTAATTAACGAACTAAAAATAAAGAAGAGACATACAAACAACGAAGCACAACACCAAACATTCAAAATCCAAAAACAATTAAAAACCCCACGGGCAAACAGAGTGGCGGAAACTCTCAAGAAACATTCATTCACATGAATTTTCGGAACAGGCACAGGCGGTCCAAAGCCATCGAGGAATTCCCAATTTAAATAACCTGCAGAAGGTCAAACCGAATTCCCTACAGTATTACTTTGATAGCATATTATTTGTATAATCATTTTTCTATTTAAACTATTAATTTATCTTAAAAATTTTACTTTAATAGTCCTACCACTATCTGAATTCAAATGTATTAATTATCTTTAATAATCATAGAAAAGAAGCTCCAGGACTGCCAATAAACCAAAAACTGGAAAAATTTAAGATTGCCATGTATCATATTAAAACTTTAGTAATACTCCATTAAGAACAGAATATAAGAAAAGTTTTAAAACTTTAAAATTTCAGAACATTTTAAAATCAAAAATACAATTAAAAATTTAAGAAAAAAATATAAAAATTCCATAAAATTTAAAATTTTAAAAATCAAAATCCTAAAACTCAAAACCACCATTAATTTCGATAATTTAAATCTGGTAATCCATCAGGATTCTCAACATTTGCAAGGCCATATCCATGTAACAATCAACTGCATCTCCTCGAAATATTGTATAACTTCTACTATTCATTAAATAAAACATTACACAGAAAAATTTCAAAATTTTCGTAGTAAACCTATAAATACTCATAACTGAGAATATAATACATATAATCAAAAGATAAATATACACAATACTAAACAAATATTCCAAATTCAACTCTATTAGAATTAATCAAATCCATTGCACATTTAGAATATGTTTTTAAGATTTCCAAGTTCTATGGCTTATCTCCCAAACATTTCTTTCTCAAATTTTCCAATAAGGAACAATGATTCAAGAAGTGATCTGCGTTACCAACTTGATGGCAATGACCACACAAGTCTGAATTTTGTAAATTAAATCTCGAGAGGTACGCGGGAAATCTTCCATGCCCAGTTAAAAATTGGTTTAAATCAATATTACTAATTGGTCGCATACCATTTTGAATTTTAATAGACTTCAAAAGATCCACGCGCCTCTCTGATTCATTCCATCTAGTATTCCAAATATCATTATAAAATTTTTCATGTTTCTAATTACATAACTTCTCGAACCAGAAATTTCTATTTATATTCACAATCATCATTAGTGGTCGCCTCTTTAGCCAGCACGTCGGCCCTTTCATTTCCAACAAAGCCAACATGGGCTTTTATCCAGTGTAAAGAGACATGTGGTTCATGCACGAGAGCCCCAGAACATTTTTCCGTCACGGTCCGTAATCTTTTGAATGCCACATATTCCGCACGATGATACGGGCGTGGCGGACCTGTGGCTTGGCCTCTTAGCTCACCGGACCTCAACCCACTAAACTTTTCTTCTGGGGGTAGATGAAATCTTTACTGTACGACACGTCTGAAAATCTCATGGCGAGAATCGTTGTTGCCGCGGAAAAAATTAACACAACGCTAGGAATCTTCGGGAGGGTGCGCCAATCGTCCCTTCCGATGTCAACTGTGCAATAACACGGGTGGTCGGCATTTTGAGCACTTTCTGTGAATTTTTCACTAAACAATAAATCTGATTGCGCAACTTTTGGTCTCGTTCATTCGCTTTCCCAACACGGTTATAAGTTGGAATTCTAATATTTCTCTTTTCTGCCTCTCAGTGTGGAATGCAACCCTATGTTCTATAGTAATTATTGCTCGTCTGGATGGGTACTATGATCCCTCTAAATTAGTAAAAGCAATTTAAAATTACCCTGTATATATATAGGGGGTTAGCTATCCCATACTATTCTTTGTAAAGCACACTACCGTGCGTTAAAAATTCAGAGGATACATTTGGCAATAATAGCATGATTTTTAATACAATAAACTTATTCAGGAGGAGATAGCTTAGTGCTTGAAAAATTATAGCTTTATTATTGGGATATTATTATTCCAGGACCACATGATTTACTTATTTAAAGCAATACTCATGTAATATCTGAAACAGCGATATATCAAGTAGCATGACAGCAGAAATATACCAAATGACTAAATTTAAACACATTATCTGAAAGAAAAGGCATTCCTTTCTAGTAATACTCATTTTCTTATTGTTGGTTGTGAATCAACGAATAAATTTAACGCCCATCTTACTTGTTGATTTCTTTGACGTCATATCCAGCAGCGACGGCTTCAAAACTAGCAGGAACAGCAGCTGTCAACAGCAACCTAGGTTTTTCCGAGGCCTTAGCTTCGCCCACAAATGCTTCATGCAGATCCTTTAGCAAATAAAATAAAAATAGTAAGTTAAAAATTACCAGGTTGAAACAAAAATAGGATGGCGAAAGCCCTTACATATGCTGCAAGAAAGAGCGATGATTAAAGCTTCATGGTACGGTTCTTTACGCAGAAAGTTCGAAGAATTTTCTACGTTTGAATTGGCTAACCATGAACAAACTTAAATTATTAAAGTATACCTTAAGATACCGAATCATTCATTTCAATGCAGGCAAAAAAAAGGAATTCAGCAATAAAACGAGTTACAGTAACACGAAGATTTAATTTTGACTTTTCCTAGCGCATTAAAACTTATGATTATACTAGATAAGTGTTTTCTAAAACTTTTCTTATTACATAACCTGTTTAAAGTTCTAAAATGTTTAAGGACCACTAGAGTAAATTTTGGTTTGTAATAATAATAATAAATGATAACGCAGATATGTTACATAAACAAAAGGAATGCTTATTTCAATTTTTATATCATACGTATTAAAGAAACCTAGAGACATAAAATTAATTAAATGAAACAAAAAATTAAAAAAAAAAAATCTGAAATGTATCAGATTTTAAATTACGTCCAAAGGGGCGTTTTTTTTAACATTTTGTGTGTTACCTTTCTTTATTAAATATCATGTTCCTCGCACTTAAACCATAAGATCCAGTGCAACAGCAATATCGCAAAATAGTTTTAAAACGAGCATATCTTTAGAATTTCCGATACAGAGACTCACGCGCTGGAGATAAAAATGTTTTTTCTGCACAACGTTGCCATTGCTCGCTTTGAAATCCTTGAGTTTGTTAATCAAAAATTCGTCAAAGTTTTAAAAAATAGGAAATCGATCATAAAACAAATTTCAAATTTCAAATTTGGTCTTCCACATGCTCATATTCGTTGGAGGATTACGTTATTCAAAATTCGATGAATCTATGTACCGTTGTTTTATCACAATACGAGAAATATACATACATTTATGCAGATTTTTCATTATTTAATTTCTTCAAATATAATGCAGGACTCTAACATTTTGTGGCAACAGTTTGAAAAGTGAACCGACATTTATGAGTCCGACGCAAAATGCCAAAACGAAACTCATAGTCCTTCGGGATTCAAATCCCTTTGGACTAATAAAAAAAATGTTAAAGGTTTCAGATTTTAAATTACGTCCAAAGGGGCGTTTTTTTAACATTTTGTGTGTTACACTTATTTATTAAATATCAGGTTCTTCGTACGCAAACCATAAAATTCAGTTCAATAGCAATATCGCGAAATAGTTTTAAAATGAGCATATCCTTTAGAATTTCCGATACAGAGGCTCGCGCGCTGGAGATAAAAATGTTTTTTCTGTACAACGTTGCCATAACTCGCTTTGAAATCCTTGAGTTTGTTAATCAAAAATTCGTTAAAAGTTTACAAAACATGAAATCGATAATAAAACAAATTCCACATTTAAAATTTGGTCTTCCACATGCCCATATTCGTAGGAGGATTACGTCATTCAAAATTCGATGTCTCTATGTACCGTTGTTTTACAGCAGTGCGAGAAATATACATATATTTATGCAGATTTTTCATTATTTAATTTCTTCAAATATAATGCAGGACTCTAACATTGGGTGGCAACAGTCTAAAAAGTGAAACGGACATTTATAATGATTCAACGCAAAATCGCAAAACGAAAACAATACTCCTTCAGAGACAAAGCCCTTTTGGACTAATAATATAGATAAATAAAAATATTTTCACTTTTCAATAACTTCGGTATATTTAAGGCTTTGAGTCAAAGGGAAGATAAATGAATGATCACGGAATAACAAGTGAAATTTGACTTTTATGGGCTATATCCATCATAGAGAAAAATTACAATATTCATTTCTAAAACAGTAGAACTTATGATAATAAGAAAACTTACACTTATTAATTATTAAAAATTTTGCATTTACTTAAATAATTTCAAAAATAAACTAAAAAAATGCCTTTAAAATACTAAAGTGTCCCTAATTCTATATGCATTTCATTGGCAATGGAAGTCATTTGGTATTGTGCTACAGTATTATTAAATTGATTATCCGCGAGAAATTGTTGACAACAATGACGAACGTAACATCGTAAGAGGAATCTGTATAACTTCACGTTTTATGGAATCTTTCAAATACGACAGATCTTGTTAATTTGATGCGCACATATTACATTTCAGATAACTTCAGAGCCAGAAATCCTTTGGAGTAACGTTGGAGGATTACGATGAGCAGGAAACTACAAATTTACGTAAGATGACTCTGTCTCAATTTTATACACGTTGAAGACTTGTAATTTCAATATAAGTCTTTTACCCTCTTCTCTTATATTAGGCACTGGTCCTTTACAATACTCTTCTTTGCAAATGCTTTACGCCGGTAGTTTTCGTCATCCGTGTCTCGTTCTAACGTCATTTATAGTTTTTCAGTGCACCGATCAATTTGCTCAGGAAAATTTGGTTGTTGCCATTCGAAAATTTCGAAATGTTTTCACTGTAACCGTAACCTTGAGATTCTGTTATTTTAAATCATCAGAATATCCAGCACATGTCTTCAGATAATAAGAACTGAAACTTCGTTTGATTGGTTGAGCGGATATGTCGCTAGGACTTTATATATTGAGGTGATTAGTTATATATCTACAGGGTGATTAGCGAATAAGCCCTGATTTCAAAATTAAATATCTCTACAACAAAAATCGATAGAATTATGCGGTAAACTGTACAGTTATTAGCAAAACTGTAAAAATGGTGTACAAAAGTTTAGAAAATTTAGTTACGAAAATCGTTAGCAGATGGCGCTCTGCGCTGAAAACCCTTTCTCTGAAAGGAGTCAAAAAATTAATTAAAAAGATAAAGTGAAGCAGCCTTCGCAATCAAAATACAATTTTTTCAAAATGTTCACCGTTCGGAACAATGAGGTGGCGTAAATAATGAAATTTGACGTTTTGCAATGTCTTGACGGAAATGGAATCACATGCAACACCATAACGATTCAAGCTCATCTAGAGTAGCCGGATTGTTTCGATAGACAGTGTCTTTCAATGCGCCGCACAGAAAGAAGTCACAAGGACTCAGATCGGGAGAATATGGAGGCCAAGCTATTCCTGTGTCAGTAAAATGGAGGATAATCTAACGCAATTACTCTATTCCCAAAGTATTCATGAAGAAGGTGAAAAACTTTATAACTTTATTTGTTCAATGTGGTCGAGCCCCCATCTTGCAGGAACCAGTCGATCCTCCAACGCTAGTTGAATGCTTACAAATTTTTTCAAAATTGTAACGTAACGTTCAGTAGTTATCGTTTCTCGTACGAAAAAAGGTCCGATAATGCCTCTGGAGCATTCCGCAGCCCATGCCATAATTTTAGGCGAATGCAGTGCTTTTTTTTGACACAAATGAGAATTTTCGGTACCCGAAAATCTCCAGTTTTGTTTATTAACGATTCCCTTCAAATGAAAAGGTGCCTCATCTGTGAACCAGATGCAGCTCACATCAAATCTGTCGTTGTCGATCATTGTTAGAATCTGATTCGCAAAGCCAACCCTTTGTTGCACAGCTTTCATGGGTATGGCCTGATGACATTGGATTTTGTATGGAAACAGCTGTAGGCTATTTTTTAATATTTTTTGCTTGCTCGTGTACTTCAAACCTGTCTCTGATGACATCCGTCGGATGCTTTTCCTAGGATTTTGCTGAACAATTCCAGAAACTTTGGCTGAATTTTCAGGAGTGACTAGTTGACTAGTTTTCAGGAGTTTGCTTAGGCCCAACATTTCCCTTTCGATCATCAGCCACGCTGCCAGTCCGTTCGAATTTCGCGAAGAGCATGCGAATGGTTTTCGCATCGGGTCCAACTGGAACATTGAATCGGTTTTGAAAACTGCGACGTGTTGCCGTAGGACTGTGTTCTAATCTGCGAAATTCCAGAACCAAAATACACGTTGTTGAATGGAATACATTATTTCACTTTCTACGCTAGCCTCTTTTCACTAGCCAACAGTAGTACTGATCACTTTCGACTTCGAAGCACATTTTAAAGGCTATTGATAGGTCATTGCGATTAGACGCCATCTATTAACGATTTTCATAACTAAATTTTATAAACTTATGTACACTATTTTTTCAGTTTTTCTAATAAACATACAATTTACCGCATAATTCTATCGATCCTTGTTGTAGAGATATTTAATTTTGAAATCAGGGCTTATTCGCTGATCACCCTGTATATATATCTATCTACATATGAAGATAGTACATATATATAAGTTCTTATGAACTCCGTCTAATTATTGCCTTTCTTACATGCAAGAATATGCATAATTTACATGTTAAGCAAATGGGCCGCCCAGATGGTATAGTGGTTAAGAGAGCCGACTATTTTACCGAATGGCCCGTGTTCGAATCCCGGAGAAATTTTGGCGTAACTGTCCGTCCCTTCATAGGAGGCAAAGGTGGCCGCCTTTTAGGCGCCTGCCTAATGAAATGGCCACCACTTCCGACCCTAGGAGTGGCCAATGTCGGGGGAAAAAAAAAAACTGAAATGTTTCAGATTTTAAATTACGTCCAAAGGGGCGTTTTTTAACATTTTGTGTGTTACCTTTCTTTATTAAATATCATGTTCCTCGCACTTAAACCATAAGATCCAGTGCAACAGCAATATCGCAAAATAGTTTTAAAACGAGCATATCTTTAGAATTTCCGATACAGAGACTCACGCGCTGGAGATAAAAATGTTTTTTCTGCACAACGTTGCCATTGCTCGCTTTGAAATCCTTGAGTTTGTTAATCAAAAATTCGTCAAAGTTTTAAAAAAATAGGAAATCGATCATAAAACAAATTTCAAATTTCAAATTTGGTCTTCCACATGCTCATATTCGTTGGAGGATTACGTTTATTCAAAATTCGATGACTCTATGTACCGTTATTTTATGACAATGTGAGAAATATACATACATTTACGCAGATTTTTCATTATTTAATTTCTTCAAATATAATGCAGGACTCTAACATTTTATGGCAGCAGTTTGAAAAGTGAAACCGGACATTTATGAGTCCGACGCAAAATGCCAAAACGAAACTAATAGTCCTTCGGGATTCAAATCCCTTTGGACTAAAAAAAAAAAAAAAAAAAAAAAAAACCAGTGCCCGCTATTCCAAAAAAAAAAAAAAAAGTATTAAGCAAATGAAATATGTAAACTGCATAAGAAATAACTAAAATACGAATTTGTATGTGGATAGGAAAATTAAATAACGTAAAATATACGCTTCAAAGATAACTAGAGATGAGTTCTGACATTTTTATTTTCATATTTTTCGTAAACATGTTAATGTAAAATTTTACGCTGAGTTCATGTATAGTAATGAAGTAGCAACATTATAAATTTCTCTAAAAAGAATAAAGCATATACAAGTAATATTTTCGAATTTTGTACATTTACTTGTGAAATATCTTTCCTTGGTAGTTCGTGAATGCCATTAAAAGGAGAATAAGAAAAAAAAGGACATTCGCAAATATTTCCTACGTAAGGGAAACCGTTTACCAGTCTCTATCCTAAAAAGTAGCGTTTTCTACTAAGATAATATCGCATAAAAATATATTTCACAATGCTCATAAAATATTGATATTTTCAAATTAGTTTTCAATAGAAAATAACGAATATTTAAGTTAAAGAAATGCCTATTAATGTAATGAGTTTTGTAAAATTTAAGGAAAATGCTTACCTTTACGAGGTTTGTGAATTTTTCCTTATCCTCAGCTCCTCTTGGAAATTCCCATGCTATATCCAAACCGTCAAATTTTCTCTGTCGCAAGTATTCGATGGCATTAAACACGAAGAGAGATTGCCTGTAAATATATATATATATATATAATTAAAGAAAAACGGGATTGAGTAACTTAACATATAGCAGAAAAATGCTGAGTTTCTGAATGCTGTTTGCTATTATGAACTTTTTTATTCATTGTGCAGCAGGGTCAAAATGTTCTTGATATATTAAAAAAATACCAAAGCTTTCAAATTTTGTATTACACCAAAAGGGGCGTTTTTTTTACATTTACATACACATACACGTTTTTGAGAGCATTTGGGTTAATGTTACTAATGTTACAACTAAAAATATTTGAAAGCAGCCTTTCTTTAGAATTTCCGATAGACAGTCTCGTGCGCTAGAGATAATTTTTTTTTTTTTTTTTTTCCGTACAGTGTTGCCATTGCTCTCTTTGAAATCGTTGAGTTTGTTAACCAAACATCCGTTAAAAATCTATACAATTTGAAGTATATAATATTTAAAAACAGCATATCTTTAGAATTTTCGATAGACAGTCTCGCGCGCTGTAGATAAAAATGGTTTTTCCCATGCAATGTTGCCACTGCTTGATATAAAATCATCGAGTTTGTTAATCAGAAATTCATTAAAGTTTACAAAGTATGAAGTACACAATAAAACAAATCCGAAATTTAAAATTCGGACTTCCAAGTGTCCATATTCGGGTGGAGGGCTATGTTATTCAAAATTGAATGGCTCTAAGTACGGCTGATTTTTTACGATGCGAGAAACATGCACACATTCACGCAAATTCCTTATTATATTTTAAATATTATACAGAGGGATAATATTTGCTGGCAACAATTTGAAAAATGATACAGACTTTTATAGTGATTCAACGCAAATCCCGTTTTCAGAATAACAGGCTTTCTGGGCTAACGTTCCTTTGGCCTAATAAAAAATAAAACGTAAATGTTTAAACATATATTATTTCTTTCTGGTCGACCGACCTCAAAATCTATTCTTCCTAAACTCCTGAAAGCTCTTGTTTATGAATTCCTTTTCGAACGAAATTCCTCTCACTTAAGCTATCATAAAGTTAGCAACTGCCTATTTAACTGAAGTTTCCGCTGTGTTCTTCATTATGTATTACTATTTTTCAGTTTCACCTTTAAACGAACTGCAGCACTGGTTGCTAGCAGCTGTAAAGACGGAAGAACTAAACCAAAGATAGGGACAAGTCCATTTAGGTAATACAAATATACAAACTATGATAAAAGATGAATTTATGACACATTTAACAAGTCCTAAAAAGTAGTGAGCTCAGTATTAAAGAGATGGGCGGAGGAAGTATCGAGTCTAGCCTGTCGGGCAGCTAACTGTCCGATGTACCTGTATACATGCGGTTTAGGTGCTTCCGCTTTGAAAGATATAAAAATATAAACATAGGAATTAGAAATTTCAGAGATTTCTACGGTACATAAGACTTGTTACTTCCTTGTACGAAGTAAAAAGGAAGTATTGTAATCGCGAAAAGTTTCAGGTAGCATATATCGAAATATCCATTTTGACGAAAATATCCATTTTGACAGCTATCGAATGCAATTTAACGATATTTTTGCGTGATATCTGTACGTAAGGACAGAATAAAAGAGTATTTTCCTCCCAAAAAATTATAAAACTGCTTTAAAATGAATTCTGAAGAGAATTTTTCGTGGCGTCTGTACGAACGTATGTACGTACGTAAGTACGTATCTCGCATAACTCAAAAACGAGTAGCATCAGAACATTGAAATTTTGTATATAGGACTGCCATAACATGTAGATGTGCACCTCGTATTTTGGTTGCAATAGGCCGCACCAAACGTATATAAATATATTTATATATGTATCCACTCTGTTACCCGCCTCAGTGATCTCAGTTTCTTTACTCTTATACTATGTTTGTTAATTGTACATTTTTTGCTTTAAAAATGACTGAATTATGTTTTTCTTGTCTTTCGGTTAAGGGTTTTATGCCTTTAGTAAATCTGCATGCAATATTTTTAAAGTTATCAATAATTTAAAAGTTTTTAAAGTGCGGCTAAGCCTAATAATTTTTGCCATGGCGGCCATGTTTGTTTACATTTGAAACTCAGCAGAATAGCAGATTTGTTGCCAATTAGAGAAACTAAGCTTCGCAAAGATAACGACTTATCATTGCGAATTAAATCATGATTAATTCATTCTGGAATTTATTCGAGGAAATAAGTGCTTAAGATTTACTTCGTAATTTTTAATATAGATATTTTGAGTTTTTATGTATTTTTGCTTTGTCGCGAAGTGAGAACTGAATTAATTGAATGAGAAATACTCATTCGTCTGTGAAAAACTGTTTCTTTTTTGTTTGTTTTCTTAATTTCTTTTATACATCGTTCTAGATTTATTATAGTATTTGAATAATACATGTGGCAACGATTAGATAATTCTTCAAATTATATAAATTTTGTGCATTCTGAGTTATAATATGAACGAAATATAACTCTGTTAAGTGAACCTAGCGCCAGAGTGTCGCTATGGTAAACAAATATAGTGAATTTAAAAGAGTGCATTTATTATATTGTGGTTTATGCATTATCGGCGAAGTGGATTTAATTTAATCCAATAAGTTTAGATGAAATGGAAAAAAAATTCGTATAATTTAATATTCCGTACAAAGAAGTCATGTGGTGTACACATCAGATTTTTTTTATTATTTTTGTTTAAGAGACGTACGAGGAATATTTTTTCTTTCTTTACACATAAAATGTTTTTTGAGTCTAATAAGACATTTTCCCCTTCCTGGAAACTCTTGTTTGCATCCAAATAGCATAATTCAGCAGAAACAAAGATAGAACCCGAACAACTAATTTTCCAAGAGATGGTTTTTTAAATTTTGTGGCCTTGCCGCATTTTCCAGAACCCATCTTTGAAAGTTTGTGAAACTACTCTTCGTATAATCCATCTTTATAGGTGTTTATAAAGTGCAGCTTCGCAGATGTGTGAAACGCGCAAAAATCAGAGTGCAAATAATTTGGGCAATTCAGAAAAATTCATTTGATGTGAACTTGGATTGAAAGTGACTATCAGTTATATATTTATCAAACAATAAAAGGTTTTTTACTGAAATTTGATGATGATATAGTTAAAAAAAGTTGTTTTTACTATTTTTATAACACTTTAAAATTTTATATTCCTTTTGACTGACTGCAGTTTCATTGCAATTATTACTATTATTATTATTATTTTGGAATGTGTCAAGGCATTTAGACCAGCTGATATTACCAAATTACTGAAACATGAATAAGCTTGTATCCAGGACAAATTTGTCTTAAATTAAATAGTTATTGTCCTAAACTACTTTATGAAGAAACTTTATCCAGTATAAGAAAAAGAACAGAAATTAATTGAATATTCTAGCATTCTAATTAGCATGTAATAAGAATATGGCCCTGGAGGAAACGAGCGACGGTAAAAACATTTTTCTTATGAAAAGAAGATTAATATGATTTTCTAAATAAAAACGACTAAAGTAATCTGAATGCGTTTTTGAACTGGTTTATATTATCAGAAATGTTACTGATAATGTTGAATTGTCAAAGATGAGAAATTTTGACAATAATAAGAGATTATGTTATGCATCCTGAAGAAAAAGAAATAAAAGGACAGGAAGGCATAGCTTTATAGAACTTGAGAAAACAAAGAGCAGCGTACGAAATTACGTGATAACAACATACGGCAGTGAAAAATAAGAGTAAGAAAAGGAATTCCGTGAACAGTAAGAGATAATAATATAGGACTATGAAACTATAACAGTAGCATAAGGTATTTGGTAAAGAGTAGGATAAAATACGATACAAAATAACAGTAAAATAATTAATTCCTTGAACAATAAGAGATAATAACACAGAATGATGAAAAATAACAGTAGGATAAGGAATTCGGTAGACAGTAAGAGATAATAATAAAAGACGGTGAAAAAATAACAACACAGTCAGGAATTCCATAAACAGTACGCCATAATAACATAAGACGGTGAAAAACAACAAGAAAATTCTATGAATAGTAAGAGATAATGACACAGAATTAGAAAGAATAGTAAAAGATAATGATATAGGAAGTGAAAAAATAGCAAGAAATAAAAATAATTCTGGGACTAAAACGAGATAATAAGTTTCTTGATTAATAACGGATGATATTATAGGTTGTTGAATTTTTTAAGCTGGTTTTATTTATTTAGTTAATAAATTAATTAAAACGTTTTCAGCTAATAAATTAAAAATTTATTCTCTGTAGGTCAGAAGCAATGAGATATTTCAAAAGCAAATAAGCACACTTTAAAACAAACTTGAGAAAAAAAGTAATTTGTTGAAGTTTAATTACGAACATTTTTCGAATGTCTCTTTTAAAATGCGAGAAATATAGTAGTTAATAAAAAAAGACCAACTACTATATTTATAAATCAATTGATACTCTTATAAACTTAATGTTTGAAGCCATTTCGATGGCCTGAATTTATAATGCAATGCCAAAGATTTAAAAGTTGCCTTACCTGTAACCAGATTTTGTAATTTGTTTAAACGGAGCTGTTCCAGATATCCATCCTCCAACGGATAAAAGCACTCTGAGATCCGGGTTCTTTTCCTTGAGTCCGAGTATCCTGTCATACAACGACTTCTTAGTGGGTCCGGAAGGTGTATCAGCGCCATCAATAGGAGCCAAAGTGTCATTTTTAATAGTAGCAAAAGCAAAAATGACATGCGTGCAGAGGAAGGGATCTATATGTTCCGGTTGGAATTTACCCTGTCCAGGACGCTTCAGAGACCAGCTGGTGTAGTAGCAGGCAATACGAGCATTGCTGGCATCTGCAAATTTAGAAATTGCAGAGTAATTTGCGGAAATACTAAATTTGAAAATTACAAAGAAAACCGCAAAAGGAAACATTTACGTATGATTACTGGAGTAGTTCCACTTTCTGCTGTCAAATTGCTCGATTATTAATATAAGTATGGATTTGTGAATTTATATGTTATTAAGGGACTTAACTGACTGAAGGGCAAACGGAATTTGCCCGGGAACCACTTTAAAGGAGCCTCAAAATGCTTTTATTACAGTGTCTCAAAAAAGTGATGGGACACTTGTGCTTTATAAAAGGAAACTGCAATAAAATAAATTTAAAAAACATGTAAAATTTTTTGTGGGTGTGTTTCATACTTAAATTTAGTAACAATTATTACATAACATACATTTCTCAAATAAAAATATTAAAATTTAATAAAAATACAAATTGTTTAGAACGGAGCAAAATGGCTCACTTAGTGATGGGACACTTACTTTTCCATCAAATATTTATCCAAAAATTTTACTTTTTAAAAGGTTTTAATATTTTGTTAGATTTCCTTTTACTTTTAAAACATGATTTAATCTTCTTGGGAATGGATTCGACTAATTGTTTTTGGATGATTCTGGAGTGATTTTACCCCATTCTTCTTGAAGCATCGATTTTTAATTGTTGTTTTGAAGAAATGGGTGTTTGCGAATTTTTGATTCCAATTCTTGCCAAATATTCTCTATGGGATTTAATTGTGAAGATTGTGGGGGTATTTTTATTATTTCAGGACAGTTATACAGCAGCCAGAGCCTAACGTTCAAAGCACTGTGCTTGGGGTCATTGTCCTGGTAGAATTTAAAATCGTTATGAAGGTTCAATTTTCGTGCTGAAGATTTCAAATTTTGATTTAAAATGTCAATATACTTGTACTGATCCATTGTACTGTCAATAAAAACAAGATTACCAACTCCAGCGGACGACATACACCCCCATACCATAACTCCTCCTCCACCATGTTTTACTGTTGGCACCAAGTTCTGTTTTCGAAATTCTTCCCTGGGTTTTCTCCACACCTCTCACGTTTAACAATTACTCCATATAATGCTTGTAAATCAGCAGCAACTTTAGGAGCACTCATTCTTGGATTTTTTTTAATATTTCGAACGATAATTCGCTTTATTCCATTGGATAGCTTTGATGGTCGGCCAGGTCTTCTTTTATCCCGAATCATATGATTCTTTTTATATCCTTTAATGATACTGAAAACTGTTGAATGAATCAGGTTAACTGTTTCAGCAGTTTCTCTAATAGAAGTACAATATGCAAATTAATAACTAATTTTCGAATTCTAGGCAAAGTTTCTTTTCGTTTAGCATTCATGGCTGCACAGAGCTAAAAAACACAAAAATTCCAAAACAAACTGGAGAGAAAGACTGCAGACGATTTTATAAATTATTGGCATTGCTTTTGAGTAAAAATATACCCCAAAGATATTTTTATTGCTTACTTCAACGATTTTTGTTGCATAGTAACGTAGTGTCCCATCACTAAGTGAGCCATTTCTGCTCCGTTCTAAACAATTGTATTTTATTAAATTAATATTTAATATTTTGAGAAAATGTATGTTATGTAATAATTGTTACTAAATTTAAGTATGACACACCCACAAAAAATTTTACACGTTTTTTAAATTTATTTTATTGCAGTTTCCTTTTGTAAAGCACAAGTGTCCCATCACTTTTTTGAGACACTGTATATTCAAGTTATGCACAATTTTAAATACTTTTTCCTTAATTTTTGATTTTAAAAATATAAAATTAGGAATTAGAACAAAATTTTAAATTTCGTGTTTTAGTTATTGAGGTCTTTCTTCAAAAGTCAAATGCTTGATGATTAATACCAAATCATTCAATAAAAATCACGGTACTTTTCCATTTTGCCGGCGCAGGAGGTAAAGTCGCCAATAATGGTACAACCGATACCAAACGGAATATCTTCGCCGGTAACCTTTTACGCCTCATTGTCAAAAACAAGTCGCAACCATTTCTTATCAGATTGATTGTTTCTTTCAATCCTGGCATATAGTTATATAGAATTTTTACCCAGATAGTTCAATTTTATGCCCTAAGGCCACTCGCGGTAATTGGGATGCAATCACACCACTCACTCGAAGGCGAAAATATAGAAAAGGCAAAGTCCAGGGTTAAATTCATCCATTCTAATGAGAATGCACTAGCGAAGTAAAGCACTGCGGTTTTACATAATTTCCGAGTAAGCTATTCGTACGAATTGAAATAATTCTTGCATTTAAACTTGTATTCCAAATTAAGATTTAACTTGAAATTAATGTAGATAATTACTGAGAGAATTAGATTTTTTGTAGCGTAGTTACGTGAGATGAGATCACTTGGGGTCACGTGATACGAACCGGCGAATCAGGATGTTGAACCATGAAAGCATAGTAAATTCTTAAAATTAATGTCTTTTTTACAAATTTATTGTCTTTATTTATTGGCTTTTTACAAAATTTTAAACGATATTAAAATGTTTATGCCTTCAAAATAAAAAATTCTTAGAACTAACAGCTGTTAACATTTTTTATGTGTATAGTGCATGTTGTCGTCAATAAAGTCTGCTTGGCGAGATTTGCGCCGGCGAAATGGAAAAGTACCAAAATCATCATTACTTTATTTTTTTCCAAGCCTATTTATATTTCTAACGATTAATGCATTTTAGAAGAAAACTTTACTTTTAGGTTAGTGCAGCGTGACTGACCTCAGTTGCGTATAAGATTTATTTGTTATGTTACTGGATGAAAGACTAAAACCAAACCTAATTTTCCTGCATTTTCATAGACTGAGGTACATGAGAAAATTTATAGAGTAATCTTGGATCTTGGATCATATCTTTACTGCTGGCTTTAGCTACTAGGAGCTCTTACCAGTATATTATCATTTTACCATAGGCCATAAAGTTAAAAATTTAAGAGGTGTATTTAAAAATACACCGCGCCCGAAGGCGAGATCAATAAATGAGAGAACTCATAAAAATAAGTTTTGCTAAATTGCATATCATGGCATAGCATGGGTGATATATACGTAAATGGTGGCGAGAAGCGAAATGAAAGTCTAAGCTTCTGCGTGAGTCAAGAAGAGCAGAAACACGTGATCAGCGTCCGGCATTTAGATTGGTCGAGGAGTCAGAGTTCGAAAAATGAAGTTTTTGTAGTTTTTGGCAATAAATAAAGTTCGAACATAGTAAAAGCAACATCTAATGTGAATTTAAGAGTCTATGTCTTTTGAAACACTTGAAAATCTTCTAAACTTGCGATATAATCATTAAATGAATAGGAAACTGTAAAAGGCGAAAATGAGGTCATGTAGCTCACTAGGGCTAATGAGTGAGAGTAAGCACTTGGTGTTACCACGAACTTTGATTTTAAAACACACGATACGAAATAGTAAAAATAAAAAGTAAAAATCTTGGTTAAATAAGTAGTAAAACGAAGAATTCATCGATGAAAAATAAAGTCCTAATTTTGCAAAGTTCATCTTTCTTGAATAGTAACTGCAAAGGAATAGTAATTTTTTTTTTTTTTTTATACATTATATACACTACCACCACTTAGAATTGTGGTGGATCGTTCGAGGTCTTTTCACTACGTTCTCAATAGTAGGGTCATAGTCTGTAAGCGATTTAATAGCTTCATAGGGAGAATTTCTCATATCTTCAAAGAAGTTGTGTGCAGAAATTAGGATTTGGTCGTGAATTGGGTTGATATCCAGGTCTTTGTGAATTTGAGAATTTCGCACGAACCAGGGTGCGTTCACTATGCTACGTAAGATTTTGTTTTGAAGTACATTTAATTTTTGTCTGTCTATTTTTCGGGCAGTAGCCCAGGCTGGAACTGCATAGAGGATTATTGGGCGAATAAGTGAGATGTAGATATTTTTTTCTTGGTACGGAGGTTTAACTTAGAGTTTCTTCCAATTAATGAGTAGAGAGCAATGAAAGCAGCGTTAGCCTTATTTGTAACATATTGAATATGATCTTTGAAATTTAGGGTTTTGTCAATATAGACACCTAAGTATTTATAGGAGTTAGCAACAGGAATATCTTGGTTATTGAGTCGGATATTTATATTCACTGGGATATTTTTTCTGTATCTGCGAAAGAGAACTACGCAGCATTTATCAGTATTATAGAGTAAGAGCTTACCACTGCAAATATTTGAACAGTCTTGTTCATCAAGAAGTTTATTGGTCTGCCGTTTGGAAAATCATACATGGCGTCAGACTAATCCTTACCGTCATGGAATCATGGAAGATAGAAGGTTATTATTTATATGGTAACATCGCCTGGATTTATATCTTGTAAACAAACGGTTACATTGAACCGAGTCCGTAGTGGTTTTGTACTTACTCCGTCTACAATCTATGCTAGAAGTTATTGAATTCCTTTATGCTTGTGACCAGCTGAGTTTCACACATTTGATTTGTTGAGATATCGTACTCCAGAATTTTATTTGCATGCTTAATTTTACTTGGAGTATTTATGAATATATTTTGTCCTCAAGCCTTGGAAGGTGTATGAATAGAAGATGTCCAAAACTGGTTCAAGTGAAATTTCTTAGTAACACGGTAATAAGAATGACTAACCGAGGACAGAAGTACCCACAGATAATTAACTCAATCATTTGCATGAGCAACTCTTTTGAGAAAATTCTTTACAAACTGAATGGTGGTCTTTTATGCATATTATCTTCAGAAATATAAATTTTCAGTTTTAAAAAAGAAAAACTTTGGTCTTACCAGGATCTACTTCTGGCACCACTTCTTCTTTTTCATCATCATCCTTACGAACAATTAGGACCTCCTTCGGAAGCACAGGAGCTGGGGTTGCTGGAAGGGTTTTCGCTATTTTTTTAGACAAAGCTTCTAGATCTGTGATGGGTCGTTTGGAGTGACCAAGGAGCTCTTCTCCCATTGCTCCAATAAGAGGATACTTTTTACCATTGAGACAAGAACCGTGGAAGTCGTCCATATCGAGGGTCCAGACCATAGCTCCACCATAACCATTGTCTTTTATCCACTTGAGCTGCAATGGCGATATAGGTTTGTATATTTATTTGTTTGGCAGAAACATGAACAGCTGTTGTTAATTAATCTACAGTCCTTGCCACTTGTCTCCATCCCCAAAATACGAATTTCAATGTTTTCGCTTAAATAGTGTGGTTAAATAATGTTTAAATAATATTCTTCCAAAGCAAAAAATATTTTGATATGTGAGATTAAATTAAATGAGATAAATTATTTCAAGAATTTAAATTAATTAAAATTTAAATGAATTAGATTTATATGATTACAAATACAGCTTGATTTATGTTAAATACTAAAAGTGCGAAAAAGAACATATTCAACCGAAAGTTAAAATGCTTAAAAATATAAAAGTTGGCTTAAGATACAGACGACAAATTGGTTCCTTTGTTTGGTAAACCGTGAATTAAAAAAATGGAATCATGAAAAGTATAAAACTAGGCATTTAATGGATAGTTAATTGATGAGATCATTGGAATTCTGCAAGAACTGTATGAATCGATAGACGTATTGTTCCCATTTCGCATTCATTTACTTAATTTAATTACCATATTTCTTCAATTCTGAGACGTACTTATTTTTTCGCAACATACACGCAAAAACAGGAGTTAGTCTTAAAACCGATGGTGTCTTAAAATTGCTAGCTATTACGAAGTATTAATATTTTCTAAATTGCTAATTTAAATACAAATATTCTTCTTAATAAATCGAAGCCTATTATTAAATCTGTTTCCTAAGTGAATTTTGGCATCATTACATTTATTTCTTCATATAATAAAAGGAAGAGTCTGTCTGTCTGTGTGTGTGTTTGCGTCTTTCGTTCGTGCTGCGCGTAAGCTAATAGACCCAGGGCTACGAAATTTCATACGTAGAAGCATCTGGACAAGAGCTAGCGCACCTCGAAGCGATTTTTTTCAAAATTCGAATGCTATTTTTTTAATTTTATGTTTTTTGATGAAATCGCATCAAATCGCAGCCATTGTTGTTGATATATCACTGTTGCCATTGTTGCTGATATCAATATAGCGCTGTTGCCACTCGGAAAAATGAGGGAGATAATTCTTTGCAGTTTTTAAATTTAATGTTTCTCCTGGATACTGAGCGTTTGTCAAGAGAAAGCTATGGGAAGTTGGTTAATTTATTTATTATGATAATTAATATTGTATTAAGGGATATTGCTTATTTCATTGCAACTTTTTTATATTTAATACATTTCTATTGAATTTTTTTTTTTTTGATAAAGTTGTTCTGTAGAGTAAAATTCTGTGCAGTTTTTAAATTTAATGTTTGGCATTTTTAGGCATTTTACAGGTACATTTAAAAGCCAGACGAAGGCTGAACGCGTAGCGGCTAGTATATATATATATATGTAATAATAAAATTCCATAATCAAGAATACACTTAAAATTCTAACTGTATGTTCTTTTTCATTTTTAATGGCGACGGTCTCTTATTTGAAAGTACGTGGAATTAAATTCACAGCCCCGTAGTCAAGTGTTTTTCCCGCTTTTTCTACACGTACAGTTATAGAATGTTCTCGAGATATTTAAAGCGAAACGGATTGGCTGACGAGACTGACGTCATTTTGGAACTCCGCCTTCCAGAGGCTAAAAAGACTCGCAAAAGGAATATCGTGGCTTTTTCTAAAATGTCGCGATGCAGTAAACTTTACAAAAAGTATTAGTAATTCTTTTTTATTTACTCCGGATATCTGATTTTGTATGCTATTTCTCTGAATTAATAATGGATCCGGTTTTTTTAAACTTATCGTCTGATTTTAAGCTACGATATATTTATGATTCTTCAGATTTTTATTACGGACAAAAAGCCTTACATCACATATCTTATATATATGTATAATGATGCCAAAAATTTATATATATACATATATATATATATGATGCCAAATTTTATATATACATATATATATGATGCCAAAATTTTATATATATATCTATAACAAAAGTTGAGAAATTTCATATTAAAATGATATATGTTATTAAATTACATTTGAGATGTTTACTCGTATTTTAATATGTGTACTTCCTATTCGGAAGTAACTAATATTTCATGATTTAATTTTGATTTAATTACTATCCCTTTATTATATATATGCACGAAAGGAATTAAATCTATTTGAAAATTTAAAATAAATAATTATTAGGGTTTTTAGTGTTATATGTATTAGAGGAATTTTAGCATTTATTTTACGATCTTCTTGAGTATGATTCCTCCTTTCCTTTCACCTGCTGATACTTTTGAAACTCAGAGACAGAATGGTAATGATTTTTATATATGATCTTCCGTTTAATCACGTAACTGCATGCTTTTCCCTTTTGTCTCTGTTTGAGGACGAGGAGCAAGTTTGACAAAGGGTCATATTTTAGGAACTCAAGCACTGATTCAAAAACTTGCTGCACTCAATGCGGGTCTTCTCAATTACCCAAGTAAAATAGAAGGAATTTTCGAATCTATCGGTCGTCCGGTGAGCTGAATGAGTTTAGAGGAATCTTAAGGGGACTTGTACATCTTAAAACCCATAAGATCTTCGAATATGTGACTGTTGCAAGAATTGGGATAACTTATTTATTTTAAAAGCAATTACTTCCAACTTTTACAGCTGACTAAAATAGATGTTTTCTGGAAAGTAATAGAAGTTGTGGTGCCCTAAATATTTTTATAATTTAATACGCTTTGTGACAAAAGTTTCGTCGTTTTCACCTTTGCGCGTACAGTTTAAAACATTCTGTTGCATATTTAATTCCATATTTAATATTTAGCTTTATAAGATTGAAACTACTGCGAAACCAAAAATTTTAAGAATCATGTTAAATTTTTATTTATTGGAGCGAGTTAAAAAAAATGTATTTTATTAAAGAAATCTGTAATATTTTCGTCATAAACTTTTTTAATTTAAATATTCATTAAATTTCGGTTCAGTTAAAAAATAGTACCCATATAAAAATTCTTAAATTTCAGTGTGCGTAGCCATGTAAATATATCCGCGCAAGGTGGAAACAGGACGAAAAATTTCGTCACAAAGCGGATTAAATTACAAAATATTGTGGCACACAAAGTTCTGGTTACTAGTCCCAAGCAGCCATATTATTAGCAGTTCAAAAAGTGAAGTAATTGCTTTTAAAATAAATAAAATATCTCAACTCTTGTATCAGTCACATATTCGAAGATCATAAGGGGGTTTAAGGTGTATGAGCCCCCTTAAGAGTAGAATGCGGTTCATGGTTATTTCCCCCCTCCCCCTCAGCGAAAACCCCTCTGAGCGTAGATGTTGACAAGCACAATTAAACGATCCTGGGTTGTGCCGCGCAACTGGCGATGACTTCGAATTGAAAGAATGGAATAACACTGCGTTTTATAATTTTCCAATTGATAAAATCTTCATCAGGTATATTACTGACATGAAGTTTTTGTGGTAATTTGTTCACATTATTCAGTTTATGAAGGCAAAGAAATATAAATTGTATTATAAAAGATAAAATAACAATTGATAAATTCCTATCATTTAGAAAAGACCAAATAACATAAATTTTTAGATAAATCAAAGTTTCCAATAAGCAGAAAACTTTTGAGCTATCATGTTGATGAAAATACTACGAAAGAATTGTATTTACCTTAATCCTGATGCTCTTTTCGTCATCGAAACCAACCCATTGATCTCCGTAATATGCATAAGGAACTTTCTGTTCATCATCCCACACATACTTAGCTCCTTTTTTGATGAAGTCGCACACCTACATGAAAACAGAAACATTGAGTAATGGAAGGTTTCAAAGTAAGAGTAAGACCATATCCACAGAAGTTCTTATCCTATATTTATTTTCTGAATGTTAGTCATAGATACATACTTCCATTCACAAAAATACTCTAAATCAGCAATTCTCAACGTTTAGACTAATGCGTTCCATCTGAACAAATACTGAAAAACTTTAATACCACTATTACATCTTTCAATTTTGCAACAGAATCATGAAATAATATATGTTTTGCCATTTGCACAGCCAGGTCATTTGTGTTAAATGTGCGCGCTAAAAGAAGATTAGATTAAAAATTTGCTACCATTTTAATTATAAAAATTTAAGTTATAATATTTTAGTTCTAAAATTGAGTGTGAAATTTGGGCCCGTTTAAGAAAGATCAGTTTCTTTATGTCTGGTTTTATTTCACTTAATTTTAACCGTAAATTAGGATCAAATTTTAATTCTATTCTGTATTTCGTTTTCAATTAAAACGGGGAAGAAAATACCTGTTCACACAAATAAGTTCTGCAAAAAGGCAACACGATCGAATTTAATAGCTTTATTTGAAACGCCTTTAAATTTTTTTTTTGATTTCAGCCAAGAGTTAAATGTTTTATTTTTGAAATCTTCTGTTGAGTTCGATCACAGGAAATTTCTGTCAATTTTTACTTCCTTGTACGAATAAAAAGGAAGTATTTAATCCGAAAAGTTTCGGCGCATATTTCAACGAAAAATATCCTTTTGACCGCTATCGAATGCAATTTAAACGATATTTTTGCGTGATACTGTACGTAAGGAAAATAAAAGACTCGTTTCTCCAAAAAATTATAAACTGCTTTAAAATATTCTGAAGAGAATTTTTGGCGTTCGTAGTACGTACTATCTCGCATAAGCTAACGAGTAGCCTCAGAACGCTGAAATTTGTATATAGGACTCTATAACATGAAGATGTGCCCTCGTATTGGTGCAATCCGGCGCATCACAATATAAATTATTAATAATATATCCTCGTTCGCGCTCGTGATCTCAGTTCTTACTCTTATATGTTTGTAAATTGTACATTTTCCCTTTAAAAAGTTGAATTTATTTTTTTATCTTCCGTTAAGTTCTTATCTTTAGTAAATCTGTACGCAATATTTTTCGAATTATCAACATTTTAAAGTTGTTTAAGTGTTCTAAGCCTTTTTATGCGGGCCATTGTGTGTTACATTTGAAACAGCAACTGTAGATTTGTGCCAATCTAGAGAAACTTAGCTTCGCAACAACAAGATAACGCCTTCATTTATTATTTCAATTAAATCATGCTTAATCCTTTCTGGAATTTTTTCGAGAAATAAGTTTTAAGATTACTCGAATTTTTAATATAGATTTTTGAGTTTTATGTAGTTTTGCCTTCTCGCGAAGTGAGAACTGAATTATTGAATGAGAAATACTCAATCGGTGAAAAACTGTTCTTTTTGTTTTGCTTGATTTCTTTTATACATGTTCTAGCTTTATTATAGTTTTGAATAGAACATGTGGCAACGATTAGATAATTTATTCTTTAAATGATATAAATTTTGGCATTATGAGTTATAATATGAACAAAATATCATACTGTTAGGGAATCTAGCGCCAGAGTGTCGCTAGTAAACAAATACTAGAATGAATTTTAAGAATGCCTATATTCTATTGTGGTTTATGCGCTGTCGGCGAAGTAGATTTAATTCAATCCAATAAGTTTAAATGAAATGCAAGAAAAATGCGTATAATTTAATATTCCGTACAAGGAAGTCATGTGGTGTACACATCAGATTTTTCTTTTTGTTCACAAGATTTTTGAAAATAATAGTTAAAAATACTTTGTTTCTTTGGGTGCGATTTATTTTTCTGTTGGGTACCACCAGTCGTACGCGTACCATCGGTTGAGAATCGCTGCTCTAAATGATGAAAGATTTTTCTTTTTGGCATTTTTGAGCTTAAAGAAATAAATCTTATAAAAAATACGAAAATAAAATTTACAAAGTTTCTGTCAAACTTTGAGCATTTTATTTTTTATAATGGATACAAAACTTTCATAAATATTAAGTATAGGTACCGGAAGAACGTGTAAAACATTAGATTTCATATTTTATAAAAAAAATTTTTTTAATTAAAAATTCAAATATACAAATCTTTGTCTTATTTAAAACATTTTTGTAGGTGGAAATATTTGTCTACAGACAACGGTTGAGAAGAACGGCTAAGGACTTTAGTGAGCACGGAGTATATTATGTGTACCAGAATTTTGGAAATATCACAATTAAAAATGCAAAAGATTTATAGACTTCGTTTTATGCAAAGCCTTATATTCATTAGTCATTTACATCATTATTTTACATAATAATTTGTTATATAGATCAGAATCGAGAGTTTTGCAGTTTTTCCACCAGTTAAGATCGTTTATCCAAACCAGAGAAACCAGACGAAAGTGCAAGGCTTATTTTGGCAAACATATTATGTTTATGCTTTTTTTCGCTTGTGCATCTTCTTTCCTTTCCGTTATCAAAATTCGGCCTAGGTTGAGCTAACAGGTAATATGTCACTAAGTATTAAATAAAAAACTCTAAAAAAACCTAAACTCTGTGACACAACAGCCCTAGTGAGCCACGACCTGCAGTGCCCCGAAAACTGTTTTCTTGACCTTGGGCTATGGAGTGCATCAGCATATGCCCTGGACATGTGGTCAACTTGTCGCCAGATGCCCGGTGTTTAGTCTCCAAGCGAACCTGGTACTCATTTTATCGACCAAAGGGTGAAAGACTGAGTCGCCCTTGCCCAGCCCGGAGATCGAACCATGGACCTGTGGTGCAGCTTCGCCACCAGGCGAAGTGGCTAGCGCTGTAGAAAAACCACTCTAAAAAACAGAGATAAATACTAAACACTAAAATACTTACGCAAACAAACACTGTTACTAGTGGGACGAGCACTAATTATGCAAATAATTATATGCATGTCATATATTGTGGGTAATGTGTTGTGTATAAAACAAATACTGAAAACAAATGTTACACCGTAGATACGAATTTCAAGGACAAGTTATTATGCATATTGTCGCGTGGGGGATACAGTTTATACATCCGTGCATGACATTGGTTCACTTTGTTACTCTAATACGTCAGTTAGAAGAATAATATTTCTGGATTGAAGACAGAAGACCTACGCATAAGGCATTTCAGCTATAAGTACTGTGAGATGTGCATGTAGTTCGAAACAAAAGGTAACATTAAAGACATCGCTAAAACATTTAAACAGACGCACGTGTATAATACTATAATAAGTACTGAGGCAGAACAGACAGACACTGAACAGACATTTCAGGCATTAATACTACGCGGTTAACATATACTGCAGTACTAAAGCTAACAAGACATCAGGAGATTAAGTTCAATCTTTCAATGGTTGTTTATGACAAGGGAAAAGAGAAAGCCTGCTTAAGGGAAATGCATAGATGTGAGCCCATTTAAGAAAAGAAACAAGGTCTTAGCAATATAATTGCCTAAGTATCCCCAGAGACGCCCAATACGTATTTTTGTTATTTTTAAGGGCATAAGACTTGATATACGTTTTGAGACTAAATAGTAATCAGGGCCTGATGAAAATTACAAGTCGGAATATTTTACTGAAACGTTATTAGATTCTCTATGCGTACGCATATAAATTCTTACCTCATAATAAGCCAAAAATCCTTCTTCTCTTGTGTAAGTACCAGCTTTACCACCTGCTCTCGTGGGGACATTCATTCCGTTTTTATCAGGACTGCTCAAGGTGAAACTTCTGCCATAAGTGGCCAAGCCAACAATGATTTTCTCTTTTGGAGCTCCCATTTTCTCCCACAGTTTGACGCCAAATTCCTGCAAAATCAACAAACAATATATCATTTACTGTAATATAGAACTGTATCAGTTGCCTTAACGTGAAATCAGTCACTGACCTACAGTCATGCGTAATTAATACACTTCCAATTAAATGTATAATAATATAAAGCCAAATTAATAAACCAGAAAAAAATTAATTTTGAAGAGCAGCCAAAAAAAAAAAAAAAAAAAAAAAGTCGCGGAATTCTGTGTAAAGTGAAATATATTAATTTTGAAATAGCAAAGGCAATACTTGAAAGTCATTCATATTTGAAAATTAAGGAACGACTTCATACGCTTAATTAAACTGTGTATTATAAATTTATGGGCATTGCGAATAAGAGATATATTAATAAAAATAAAAACGTAATCCAACTTTACTTAATTAGCCATTTCAGCTAGAAATTATACATTAAATCTGACAATTTAATATTTATGTGTTTTAAAGAAAAACCTAGTTAAATAAATAATTAAAAAAATTAACGCAGAATGATGTATTATGACTTTCTTGAATAGTTAAAAAGTTATTCATTACGGAGAAAAAGTAGTAAGTGAAAAACGCTAAAGATGAAACAATTTAATACTGCTTCCTTTTATGTTGCTGTCTCATCTTGTACATACTATTAGGTTTCTTTGAAATAAGAAACATGGAAAATTAACTTAGTTCTGGCCGGAATTCGAACAATGGTATATTTAATTGACAACTAAACCTACTTACTACTTATATTTTCAGACCACGCGTGGGGATCGCAATAGTTCTTTACTAGCTCACATAAATCAAATTTCTTTGCTATTAAAATGGAATACTATTTAAAATACAAAGAAATTAGAATAATATTTTAAACGTAAAGTTTAATTTTAAATTCCAAAACTAATTTTCCAATCCTAACGCGATTTAATGTCTAGAATATGCAAATGTTATTACAGGAACATTAGACTCTATTGCTTAGAATGTTTTGTTTTTTATTTCCAATGGCAGGCACATGAATAAGAATAAAAGCAAGTAGCAGAAACAGAATATAAATAAGTAGTAATGGGGTAAAAAAAAAAATCTGAGATGTTTCAGATTTTAAATTACTTCCATAAGGGCGTTTTTATAAACGTTTTGTGTGTTACCTTTATTTATTAAATATCATGTTCTTTGCACATAAACCATAAAATTCAGTTCAAATAGGAATGTCGCAAAATAATTTTAAAATGAGACTATCATTACAACTTCCGATACACAGTTCGACGCGCTGGAGATAAAAAGGTTTCCGCCCCTCCCCGTAGAGTGTTGCGATTGCTCGCTTTTAAATCGTTGAGTTTGTTACTCAAAAATTTGTTAAAGTTTTGCAAACTATAAAATCGATAATAAAACAAATTAAAAATTTCAAATTTGGGATTTCAGATGCCCATATTCGCAGTAGGATTACGTCATTCAAAACTGGATGGCTCTAGATACCGTTGTTTTATCACAATGAGTGAACTATACATACATTTTTGCAGATTTTTCATTATTTAATTTCTTCAAATATAATGCAGGACTCTAACATTTTGTGGCAACAGTTTGAAAAGTGAACCGACATTTATAGGAGTCCGACGCAAAATGCCAAAACGAAAGTAATAGTCCTGCGGGACTCAAATCCCTTTGGACTGATAAGTAGAAGCAGTAGAAATAACATCAAAAAGTTCAACACATAACCGGACTTTATCGCTATCGAGTCTTTTAGCCTCCCAGTATATAAAAACATTAGTATCTCGGTGGAGAGCGGCGTAGACAGGCAGGTGATGTTGGTCTATAGGCTTGTTTTTGACACGGAAGAGGCAGGCAGCATCAGTGAGAACGCCAATACGGCACGGATGAGCAGATAGGCTATCATGCCTGTAACTAGTAGAAGATCAGCCATTACCTATCGTCTTGGGTTATCAGGTTCATCTAAAAGACAATTGTTTCCATATTTGCTTCAGTTTTGCCCAGGAATTCACCCTGGTACATCGATTCTCGTTTTGTACAGTGTAACAGCATGGCATTTTTTTTAGTAAAAAAATCTGCCTGATCGTAATCGTGTAAATTACTATGGCCAAGGATCCACCGCAAAACAACACGTTGATGTCCAGACCTGAAGGAATTCAGCAGCTTTGGACATTGGGAAATCTCATATGAGAGTAGAGCTGGAATTGAACTGAATGGCAGCCTGCGAATCTGACAGTAATCCTACATTTTTAAATCCATTTAGCTAGCAAGTTAGCTGTTTAAGTGAGATGTGAATCGTCTCCACTTCACCGCCAAAAGCAGTACCACACTTTCGAACTAGCGCACAGAAGGGAAATAATTTCGAGAAAACACCGGTTCCCAACATTCTCGTGTCTTGAAAGCTGTCACCCATCTGTATAAACACGCTGCCGCTCATTTTTCATGATGTTTAGTCTCAATAGCTTCCCAAGGGTTACATTTTAGTACATCGATGAAGTAAAAATGCCTAAAACATTAAAATGTAAATAAAAAATGAATGAAAAACCCACCATACAGAGCTGTTTCCTCCATTGAGATTCAGTGGAAAGAGCATAAAGGGGACTGTTGTGACCAGTCTGGCTTTCCCATTTTCCGTGAAAATCGTATGACATGATGTTGATGAAATCACAATAACTGCAAATAGAGACAGCAAGATTAGAATAATTAATAATTCTAATATATTAAATTAAAGTAATTAATTTTGAAAACAAAGTTCTGTAAAATAATGACTTGTTTTTAAAGCTTTAAAATAGTTGTATTTTTGTTTCTCTTCATCTCATCGTGAAACTCGTCATGAGAGCCATCTTTTCAAGATAGCCTTTGCTCTCATGATGACGTGCTCAAGATGTCTTACATAACATGACCATTGGTGAAAGTTAACACCAATATGTACTTATGTTCTCAGAAATAAGGCTCGCTTTTAAATCGCTGTCTCTGAAAGTGAACGATATTTCTGAGAACATAAGTATACAGGGTGTCCTTAACACTTTAACATGAGCACCATTAGTTGCTCGGAGAATATCAGGTCTATTCTCGATTTCACTTCAGATGTTATTAAGCATTTGTATAATCACAGTAGCTGTTTTTGTGGTGATTCGAATTTTTAATTCTTCGTTGATGGCGAATCTTTACATCATGACCATTGGTGAAATTGTTTTGGTGAAACTCGACATTTTAGGTATCCTCAGAAAAAGAAGTCGAGTCGTATGATATTCGAAAAACGGGCTGGCCATGAAAAATGTCCAGATAAGTCCTCCTGGGTCCTTAGCTCCATCCCAATTTTGAATGGATGTAACGTTTCCTTTTTCACAGGTGTAATTCTGTTACCCCCTGTTATGAGGCCTAGGCAATGTACTCAGCAGATTGATTGCTAAATGACCGATGGATATTGACCATCTCTGACGAATGAATTAAGCTGCAAGTGCTCGGCCATTAGAAAAGCAAAAGAAATGTTTGTTTAAAGTAACCACTTATGGAGCAACAGTTTGTATATCACATCCTGATTGTATAGTTTCAGAATCAGCTGATAAAACAACGGTCAACAAAAGACGAGGCAATTTCTTATCTGTTTTGCTCTTCGAAAGCTTCCATCAGAAAGAGAGGGTCACTGGAATCTGATGACACTTTTTGTGAAACCATTACCATCAAATGTAACTCAAATACTTTTTAAATACCTAATATAGTGCCATTTATTATAACTGGCATCGATAATATTATTGCAACTGGCATCAAAATGACATTTATTTTAAAGCCATTTGTTGTATCTATCGTTATAATTACCATTGGTACTGTTATGTGAGTTACTGTAATTGGTAATGCTAATGACATTAATATACAACGCTGTTTATTCTAACAGTGCCATTTCACTTTTAGGACTTTTAAGTTTTTAAGAAACATGTTTTACAAACGCCTTCTGCCTTTCGATTGCTTTTCAGGTAATTGTTTTCTCGTATAGACGTAGTTATTTCGCATAATATTAAACTGCGATCATGAACTCTCCTAAGTTTATTAATTTACACTTGTAAGAAATGACTAAATGACCGATGGGTGTTGGCATTCTCGAAGAATTATTTAAATTGCAAGTATCTAATTACTGGAACAGCAACAACGGTGCTTGATTAAAAACAATTACTTACGCAGCAACAGCTGGTACATCGTATCCTGATCGTATAGTTTCAGAACCTGCAGAAACAGCAACGGATAACAGAAGACGAGGTAATTTTTTATCTTTTGCTTCTTCTTCAAAAGCTTCTCTTAATTCCTAGAAAAAGTTATTTCAGTAATTAGAGTTCGTATATAATGAGTTACCCAAATTTTGCTTAAAATCTCAATATTGAATGCAACTGAACTCCAGTAATCTGGATTCCAGTAACATTAACTCCAATAATTGCCTGAATCCCTTGTTTTTCGATTTAAATTTTTTAAAAATTTATTCAATGTTTTCTTTTTATGGTTGACATAAATCGCACAAAAAGCTATTTTATTATCATTGTATATTAGTTTACGTTGTATATGCTCAAATTATTATTTTGTAGCAGTAAGGGAAAAACAATTTTAATTGAACATTACTTTACTTGAGCAATTACTACTACACTTCTTGTTTTATTACACTTCTTGTTTTATTTAAATAAAAAATAATTTTGTCGTTTATTTGTTACAGAAAAATTCAAAAAGGATTATGTATGTAATTGTAGACTGTATGATTGACTAATAAAATAAAAAAAATTAATTTCATTTTTTTATTTTGTTCGAAAAAGAAATGGGCTGTAAAATTAACCATGTAACATATAAATTATGTCAGATAAAATATAATTTATGCTTAATTTACATTTTGCTTTACGGAAATGTGGATATTTAGCATTTTTAAGTGAAAAGGATTTTGGCGAAATGAAATGCGATAAATGGAAAAATAACGTCTGTTTTCTTGGAAAAGTCGTCATTTCAACATTAAAGCTACAGCCGTAACAAAGTCAAAAACTTGAAAAATATATGTGTTTCTGAATAATAAAGATTAAAACAAAATGATAAAAGGGGCAAAATTTTACATTCATTTCCAACATCCATTTAAATATTTTTCTGTAAAAATTGTACCACTAAAAATATTGTAACGTACCACCAGTGATACGTGTACCACAGTTTGAGAACCGATGGTATAGGAGGAGTGTTAGGTAGAAAAGAGGCGCCTAAGGACTGGTTGACTTCATAAGACTAAGATATCACTGTTTCATAACATTTAAAATAATTTATTTTCTGCTTCTAGAAAACTATGCAAATAAAAAGCGAAATAAATTCGTAAAAACATTCACTTTGGAATCATGCAACTGTTAAGGTTGTTTGGTAAAGATACCACTTAAGGTAATGCATGAATACTTATGATTGCGACTATCACAGAAAGGTAGCAGTTCTTATTCCGCTATAATGCACATAACTGACAGAGTAACTTTTCATAACTTTCCTCAAATGAAAATATATTTGGTTCAAAATTTCGGGGATACACTATATATATAAATCTTAATCTTAATTCTTTTCCTAAATACATTCCACTGTATGCATCTAATATCTAATAAGTCTACCAATGGCAAGTGGATAAATCAGTTGAACTCTGGTAGTTCGATTCGTGTCGCGATGATTGGCTAACTACACGGGAACGTGCATTTTTATAGTTTCCGCGTATATACGAGCCAGTCTGTTATAGAGAGGCCTTAATGAAGGCGTACCTCTCTTTGCAGATAACCCTGGCGAGATTTACCATAGTCTAACAGTCTAGTGCTATAGTCCAGGCTAATTTCAAGTAATACTGAGCCATAGTCTATTATAGAAATGATTTATTTTACTTTAATTCTTAATATTTTACATCAGTTATTTGCAATCTTTTTTTTTTTGTCACATTATAAGGTATTTCTCCAGCCTTTTTAGCGTGCCTTCGTGGTATAGTGGTCAGCACGTTCGACGCGTATTTGAGAGGTCCGTGTTTCGAGTCCCGCGAGGGCATTGCTCCTTTTTCATTTCTCCTGCTTTAAAAAATACCTAATGTCTCTACAGTGGCGCCCGAACTAAAAGGTGGTGATTCTTCACCACCAGGATTTGGCGATTGAGTCCTTTAAAAGGGGGGAGTACGTGAGGTATTCCTCCTTGCCTTCTTAGAATGCCTTTGTGATGTAGTGGTCAGCCCATTCGACGCGTATTCGAGAGGTCTGTGGTTCGAGTACCGGCGAGGGTATTGCTCCTTTTTCATGTCTCCTGCTTTCGAAAAATACATAATGTCTCTACAACATACCTTTGGAAAATATTTCATTAGTGATTGGTCACGTAGGTTTGGATAGTAGAAAATGTACTATTATTTCCTCAAAGTATATATCATGATTAGAGACTCATCACTCAAGGATGCAAAGCAATCTTCGTCTCACACCCTGAAATTCCATCTCATTTCCCATGGGGGAGAAATTCTATTCTAAGCTGAGCAAGTACCTTAACTTAGACTTTTCCAAAGTGATCAAGTACTTACTTACTCAAAATCTCAATGTTTGATGCGCATTTCATCATAATAACTTTCTCTAAGGCGACAACGATGAGTAGTCTTTGTTGCTACTTTTTTCTAAGATTCTGGAGGATGAAATTACGCAATATTGAATGTGCATATCACACTAATGGTTGGTACGAGATCTATTACACTGTAAAACATAAAATTAAGTCAGAAGGTGAAAAGAACAAGAAAGGGCGATTGGTCAGAAACCTTGAATCGAATTCTTAAATCACATATTTCTTTTTCAAAATAAAGGTAACAGGAAACCACCATTATTCAACAGTAAAAGAGCCATTCTTCAATGTCATGCACCAGAAAGAAGTGTCAAAAAGGAGAAAGAGAGTCATATTTCATCGTTCTTACTACAGAAGAAATACGGCACAAAGTCGTAGAAGATGAGCATTTGTTACAAAACCGACGTAACGTAAGTGGATTTCTTATGTTTTACTCAAAATCCCATTTATAAAGACTTAACTGGAGGAAAAGAAGTTAAAGGAGAGGTGGAGAACAATGACTTCAATATTTTCTTTATTAAAGCTCAAGAATTTGTATGTTTTTTTTTTTACTAAAAGAAAACACGGCCTTGTTATTTTTATATAAAGCTTTGTATTATTCAACTTCTTTAGGTAATGAAGTATTAGTGAAACATAACTTTGATTTCACTGAATTTGACAGAAGCGTGCCTTATTTCAAGATATAAACATAAATTTGTATGCAGTGAAGAGAATATGGCTAAAGAACAAAATGTTGAAGCAACTACTATTAAACAGCAGGAATCTTGAGAACAGATTTGCAGATTTATAGTTTTGAAAGTTAAAATGAAAGCTGCTTCTTCAGCTGTAGAAGTGAAAATGACGAAAAAGAAGCGTTTGTTTGCATGAAAATAATTCAGGAATAGTAAAGTGAAGCCATTAGAAACGAAGCCACTAGCGCCATCTACAGATTTAAATGTGAATCAAATGCAATGACACTTGATTTGAAACACGTTTTTTGAACAGCTGAAGCTAAAGCGGAACCTAATCTCTCTTTACCGAAAACATCCCAAATCCAGGGACCTAATCTCTCTTTACCGAAAACATCCCAAATCCAGGGACCTAATCTCTCTTTACCGAAAACATCCCAAATCCAGGGACCTAATCTCGCTTTACCGAAAACATCCCAAATCCAGGGACCTAATCTCTCTTTACCGAAACCATCCCAAATCCAGGGACCTAATCTCTCTTTAAACATCCCAAATCCCAAATCCAGGGACCTAATCTCTCTTTACCGAAAACATCCCAAATCCAGGGACCTAATCTCTCTTTACCGAAAACATCCCCAAAATTTCTTTCTTTATTGTTTCTCATTTACGTTTCGGTCAACAACAAATGGCACAAATGGCTCCATTTCTATAATTTAATAACAGCATTATCGAATTTTTTCCGTGTTGTTCTCATACAGATACCTGTTTCTTTTCCATCATTTTCACGCCTACTGTCGAAAAGAAAATTCCTATTTAAACTCTTAAATCATAGTTTTCTAAATTTATTCTCTCAACGCCTATTTCTGTTGCTTATTATTAGATGCTTCAATGTAATATTTGTATTTTACGATTTCGATAGTGTGGAATTTTAAACTCGTACGTAAATGTTATAGAAATATGAAAAAACTATTTATGGATAACCGAAGTGAATATTAAGAATAATAAAGCCATGTATGTTTACTTGTGTTAGTAGAAAGTGGGAATATCTTTTACCTTTAATAGCAGCACAAAGTTTTTTTTGTCGTCTCCTCCTCTTGGGAACTCCCAATCCAGGTCGAGGCCATCAAAATTCCTGTCTCGTAGATACTTGATGGCGCTGAAGACAAAGAGTTGTCGGTTGTAGCGGTTATTCGCCATCTCTTTGAATCGCTGAGTACCAAATGACCATCCTCCTGCAAAACAACAAACGATCATTGCAGATATATTCTATAGTATAAAAAAACTGTGGTTAAAAACATATAAGGCAAACTTATTAAAGCAAGCAGCATGTAAAATATTTTTTAAATAATTATTTGTTTTGAATAACATATGTATAACTTCATTTCACGAGATTCTATAGGTTCAGTTAGTGTCATTACGACAGTCGAGCAGTTTTAGAGTCAAAGAAATATAGCTGAATATTTACCTTTAAACACGACATTTGTGTGACTGCCAAATTAGTACATTGTATCTAACTAGCGAATATGCTATTGTCCACAGTTTTATCACAGTTTTATATCATCTCTTAAAAATAAATGATAATTTTCAAAATAAGAAAAATGTAAATAAATATAATATGAAATCTTAAAAAAATAAAGGATGTTCTACTAAATTTGAAAATTTCGCAGTTAATGTTAGTCAGCAGCAAGAAAATGAGTTCTCATTCTTTGCGTTCTATGTATCACGCCAACTCAAGATTTCGATGTACAGTAGAAGTCCATTAGTCCGGCATCCAACAGTCCCGAATGCCCGATAGTCCGGCATCGCTCCGGAAAATTGTAAAAATTTCGGTTTTCTCCAAAAGTGTGTCTTTAAAGCAAATAAAACCGCTCGAGAGCTATTCGGAAGTTTTCGGGGTAGTTCGAGATCATCCGGAAGCGCTCGGTATTGTTCGGAAACAATTAGCGGCCGGCTAGTCTCAGCTGTCACAACAAATTCAGGTGCAGTGCAGCTCCGTTAATCAATCACGAAGCGTCTTCGCCATTTTTTTGTGCGTTGTTGTTTTGTGTCCTTTCACATCGCAGTAAACGTAACTTTTGAAACTGTTTATAAAAAAAGTGATTTTCTCTCCAGAATGAAAAATTCTAAGGATTGCCATTCCTCAAATGTCTATAAAAATTCGCCACTGGAACATGCGACATTCGTGTGCCCACATCTGTGTCCTCAGAGAATTAGTTAAGTAGAGAGAATACCTGTATAATAGTCTATTCACAGACCAGACCCAAGATGTTGCTTCTTATGGATTGTCGTGAGAAGCTTAATTGCTCAAAAGGAAAGCAGAAGATAATCGAAACTCTCTTTCACCCATGTAAAAGTATGTTCTAACTGTACAGTGACCATGTTTTCAAAACCTAAGCCTTCGAGTTCAAAAGGAGAGAAACGAAAACACGTAACACTGACTCTCAATCAGAAACTAGAAATCATCAAACGGCTAGAAAAAGGCGAGAATAGAAATGTTTTAATGAATGAGTTTAATATTGGCTCATCAACTATTATGACATTAAAAAACAAAAAGATGAACTAATGAAGTTTGCTTCTCAATCGGTAAAACTGAAAAATTGGCTTCTAGACAAACATTAAAAAAAACCAAAACTGGAACAGCTAGATAGTATTGTTCAAATGGTTTAGTGCAGTACGATGAGGACATTATCAACATTGTAGTAAAACCCTCAGCCTACTCAAATCTTGAAGAAAATGACTGAGATGCCGAAACGGAAAGAAAAGAAAAAAATCAGCTGGCAGAAGCTGCAGAATCACTAAAATAAGTTTATCTCTTTTGCCGAGGCTTAGTATAGCTACAGTGCTTCAGAAATTATTGATTCCATATCATTAGAAATAAATTTTATACTAAACGCCAAAAGTCAAGAAAACAAAAGACATTCGTGACTTTTTTAAATCTAAGTGAAATATGTTTTACAGTACGTGTACATACATATATGAAATGTAAAATAAACTTTGTTGTATGTATTTGCATACTGTATTTTTAGTTTAATTATTAACCTAATTGTTCTTATAATTACCGCCCGATAGACCGGAATTTTCGGTAGTCCGGCACCGAGCCGGTCCCGAACGTGCCGGATTATCGGACTTCTACTGTATAGCAGAAGAATCTTAATAAAGTGGGAAAGCCATGAAAATTCCACAACGATTCACCAGGAAAAGCGCCCAAGTAGAAATTTCAAAACAGTTATGTTTTCTTGTCTTTAATCCAAAGGTTTAGCCACATGGACAGGCCTCATCAATAATAATAAGAAGGGATGTGTGTGGCAGCTGTCGTAGCTCACGCTAGCTGCCTCATACATCCATCCAGTGGTGAGTGGTAACAATATGACTTTGAATAACTCCATCCTGCTTTTAACTGAGATTATTTTAGGAGATAGAACAAGAGTCTCGTACCCTTCTTACTTTGCAAGCAGTTCTCGAATGGATCTCCAGAATGAAAAATTCTAAGGATTGCCATTCCTCAAATGTCTATAAAAATTCGCCACTGGAACATGCAACATTCGTGTGCCCACATCTGTGTCCTCAGAGAATCAGTTAAGTAGAGAGAATACCTGTATAATAGTCTATTCACAGACCAGACCCAAGATGTTGCTTCTGATGGTTTGTCGTGAGAAGCTTAATTGCTCAAAAGGAAAGCAGAAGATAATCGAAACTCTCTTTCGCCCATGTAAAAGTAATAATTTAGTTAGTTTCTTATTGATCTACCATTTGAAGGTAGTTATCTAACTATGTAAGGAAAATTCTAGGAAATGTTGCTGTTAGCTTATAGTTCTAAATTTATTCGCTCTTCAAGTCCCAAATCTCCTTGCTTTGTTTGAGATACGAACCCAGGTCAATCGGCATGGGAAACACTGTACCGATCAGTTGGCACCTTCTACTTCTGGACGATTTTACCCATTTGGCCGCTAAAGGAGTATTAAAGATTCAATAACCTATAAATACAATCAAGTCCTTCACATAAATATTTCTTTTCCTGTTATTTCATGTAATCAGTCTATTTAATTTTAAATGAATGGAAATTTATACTTTACTCATTGCCTTTTATGAAGATGCGCTAAATGCTGTAACAGCTTTAAATAGTATTAAAATTTTGTAGTTTAAATAATTTAAATAGATGAACATTAAGGTATTTTGTGAATGGCAATATTTGAAACCAGACTCGAGTGCCTCGTGCGACTCTCGCACGAAGAATGTAATTTATTTTTAAATGTTAGAATATGTTTTCTCTTCTTGTTTTGTATGTCGCCATTTTTTTTTAGTGTTAAATAAAAATTATTGCTGTGTTCCATCATTGGAGTTGCTTCATTTCGCCAAAGAAGTATCACAATGCATTGGCAGGACTGTTTAAAATATTTTTATCATCTTTTAATTCTGTATCTTTTAATTCTTTTAATTCTGTCCTTTGTTTCCGTTATAATAATTAGCCAATTGTAGTTATGATAATTATAACTATTTGTGAAATAACTGGAGATTCGCATCTAGAGATTAAGGTGGCATTTTTCAGATATTACTTGCATACTGTTTTGCTCTTATACTAGTTATTCTCCACGTCTTTAACTTTTAGAATCAGCATTCAACACTTACCTTGATGTCTTTTTGAGAATTTCCGCTTAGACCAAGGTCTTACTTATCTAAATTTGCTGTCTTTCACTTGAATATTTTAATTCTATTCCTCATAGGAAGTAGGTAATTATTTTCACACTGTATACTGGTAATTTGTATATCAGTACATTCAGAGAAACTGACTGTTTATGGTTTCCTGGTTATTGTTGTTCATGTCCTTTCTTTCTCCGTTAATATTCAGAAAGGCAGTTTGCTTGTGATCATTAGAAAACATTATGTTTTCAGTAGAAATCTTAATATGCATTGGCCAGCAGCGTTTCACCTCCAAAATCCAGGGTTTTATGTATTGTGGATGTATCTATTTTTTAGAACTATTTTACTTATTATTTTTCAGGAAAAGATACATATATATCATAGGAGCTAACTTGTGGCATGCAGGCAGCATAAGGAATTTAGTCCTTTCACGGTTAAAATATTTATGATTTCTATTATTATAATTGACCTTAGATTTCCTGATGCATATGTTTAATAATCCTTTCACAGCCCATGGCAAGGCTAAAAATTACTATTATTATTATTATAATTATTGAAAACAGACTTCCTGATTCCTTATTTGAATTTATTTACATACAGTGCGTTCAATTTTAAACCAACTGCGACGTACAGATATGTGAGATTAAAGAATATACTTAGCAGGAATAGTATTGTTATGGGCTATCGATTCGCTTCTATCTCTGCAAATATTCACAGAACATAATCAGGGAAATCTATATACAGCTGATAAATAGCTGCAAATAGCTCCAGGAGAACACAATGTTCAACCATTTTCCCTTAGATTACGAGAAATATCGTTGATCATTCACAGAGTAAGCTCTCAAACGTAATTCATCTAACTAACTTTGAACCGCTTCTGTCATAGGCGAATAACAACTAACATATCATAATTCTTAAAGCCGTATTTTTTACATTAAGCATAGGTATGTGTATGATGTAGATGTAGCTTCTGGAGACTGCGGGAAAAATCTTTAGTAGGGCTTCAAAAATGTGTTTTCCTGAATCTTTCCGAAAATCGCCAAGAGCATACTTACCCACATCTTGCGTTCTATTCGCGTTATTTTACAATTTAAATTTCATTGGTCTCAGAAATGAAACATCTACAATTCTATGAAATAAATACTATATTTTACAGTGTCTAAGACGCAATTTTCTCAAAATATTTAGCGTTTAAAAACTGTGTGCGTCTTATACAACAATAGGGCACAGGTGACGGAGGACGGGGACACCTGATGTCTAAAAGGTAAGCAGGTATATGTCCCCCGCCCTCCACTATCTTGAACCGGCAGCTTCCGAGTCCCAGGAGGCCTGCCTCGAGAATAAATTTGCTTCTCTGCGAAGCTGCATGAACGAACAGGGTCCTGGATGATGTTACAACTTATACAACAATAACGTCGGCTCCAAAGAAAATGCCACGGTGACCGAAACCAGTGGTGAAAGACTGCCGAAGACGGCTTGCGTGTTAACTCTTAAGGGCCGTTCACACTGGGGTGTATCTGAGCTAACGGAAACAACTTACGTAGCCGAGCCATCACCAAAACCAGTTTTTCTCCATAGGGCAGCAAGTTGAAAA